GCAAAAAACACCCAACCGGAAAAGCAAAATGAAAAAAGAATCCGAAAATAGTGTAAGGAGCCTCTGGGACAGCTTCAAGCGTACCAACATCAGAATTATAGGAGTGCCAGAAGATGAGAGAGAGCAAGATATTGAAAACCTATTTGAAGAAATAATGACAGAAAACTTCCCCCACCTGGTGAAAGAAATAGACTTACAGGTCCAGGAAGTGCAGAGAACCCCAAACAAAAGGAATCCAAAGAGGACCACACCAAGACACATCATAATTAAAATGCCAAGAGCAAAAGACAAAGAGAGAATCTTAAAAGCAGCAAGAGAAAGAAACTCAGTTACCTACAAGGGAATACCCATACGACTGTCAGCTGATTTCTCAACAGAAACTTTGCAGGCCAGAAGGGAATGGCAAGAAATATTCAAAGTGATGAGTACCAAGAACCTACAACCAAGATTACTTTATCCAGCAAAGCTATCATTCAGAACTGAAGGTCAGATAAAGAGCTTCACAGATAAGGAAAAGCTAAAGGAGTTCATCACCACCAAACCAGTATTACATGAAATGCTGAAAGGTATCCTTTAAGAAGAGGAAGAAGAAGAAAAAGGTAAAGATACAAATTATGAACAACAAACATGCATCTATCAACAAGTGAATCTAAGAATCAAGTGAACAAATAATCTGGTGATCATAATAGAATCAGGGACATAGAAAGGGAGTGGACTGACTATTCTGGGGGGGGGATACGGGTGTGGGAGATTCGGGAAGAGACTGGACAAAAATCGTGCACCTATGGATGAGGACAGTGGGTGGGGAGTGAGGGCAGAGGGTGGGGCGGGAACTGGGAGGAGGGGAGTTATGGGGGAAAAAAAGAGGAACAAATGTAATAATCTGAACAATAAAGATTTAATTTAAAAAAATCACAAAAAAAAGCAAAAAAAAAAGTTTTTTTTTTCTGAGAAAAATATTACCGTGCATCCTGACATTTTTGGCAAGTCGTTTTCTACTCATAATGGGAAGTTTTGATAAAGTGAATTATTTTTGTACATAGCTGTTTTCCTTTGTATTTCTCTGTGCCTACCATTCTCTCTGTTTTCTATTAAATTATTATTTTCTCTGTGTGACTTTACAAGTTATAATTGCTTTGTTATCAGAAAGAGAGAGGTGGGTTCGCGTTCTCCTTTTATCACCTTGGTGAATGAATTGTAGCACTCCTCATTACCATAGCTTTGTTCTGCTCAGTTTTTTAATGATAATTGCCCTTGTCATTCCTTGTAATAAAAGCCATAGAAATCTTCTGGTTAAAGCAGAGGGAGATGAACAAGTCAGAATATATTTTCACAATGAGTTGATAAGGAAATTTCATGTTTCATTTTAAAGCATTAATTAGATGACAAGAAGCTTATGAAGTGAAATAAACAGAAGATGGACAAATGACATTATCACAGCAAGTTCAGGAAAGATGCACATGTGCATGGGGCTGAGACAGAACATGTCTGTGTGGGTTGGTCTCTGTCTACCACCCTCGCATTGATACTGCTTTCAAATGCTTTTATTTTCTTCTTTCTTTTTCACATGGGTGCTCCCCCTATTTTTATTCTTTTTTTAAAAAATATATTTTATTGATTTTTCACAGAGAGGAGGGGAGAGGGATTGAGAGTTAGAAACATCGATATGAGAGGAACATCGATCAGCTGCCTCCTGCATACCTCCTACTGGGGATGCGCCCACAACCAAGGTACATGCCCTTGGCCGGAATCGAACCTGGGACCTTTCAGTCCGCGGGCCGATGCTCTATCCACTGAGCCAAACCGGTTAGGGCCCTATTTTTATTCTTTACATGCCACACTTTCTGAGTTTGTACCTCTGGGTGAGAGAACACATGTGCATTCACATTGTTACACTGAGCTTAACAGGGGCTGGACTTGTGCAAGTCAAAAGCTCCTCACTACCCTCTGTGTCAAGTAGGGGCATTGCTTGTCCAACCAATCACATCAAATAAGGTGAAACCTTGTGAAATGTGCAACAGCTGTGTATGTACCTGTGTGTTGGAGTTACTCTGTGGAATGGATAGGAGGTCAAGGAGCAGTCCAGCAAGAAGTTTCTTACTCAAGCTAATCACAGCGTGAGTTTGAAGGAAATAGTATACTTTGGAGGGGGAGTCCTACTTTATCCCTCTTTGATTTAAGTCTCCGGTCTAAGCCTTGTCATTCTTGCTAAATTCCGAACTAGTCCAATTCCAGGACCAGGGACCTTCATTCTGTGTTCCTTTTGCCATTTTGACCAAGGTCAGAACAATTTATAACTGCCCAGTTCAACCAAAATAAAGTTGTAGTTTTGAAAAAAAGAAAAAGAAAAAGCAAACCCTGTCAGAATGGCTACCATCAACAAATCAATAAATGACAAGTGTGGCAAGGATGTGGAGAAAAGGGAACCCTCATACACTGCTGGTGGGAATGCAGACTAGTGCAGCCATTATGGAAAACGGTATAGCGTTTCCTCAAAAAATTAAATATGGAACTGCCATTTGACCCAGTGATTCAACTTCTAGGAATATATCCTAAGAAACCAAAAGAATGTATGCCCTCTATGTTCATAGCAGCGCAATTTACAATATGTTGGAGATTAAACCCTTATTGAAGATAACATTGGCAAATATGTTCTCCCATGCAGTGGGCTTTCTTGTTGTTTTGTTGATGGTTTCTTTTTCTGTGCAGAAACTTTTTATTTTGATGTAGTCCCATTTGTTTATTTTCTCCTTAGTCTCTCTTGCCCTAGGATCTGTGTCTGTAAAGATATTGCTATGACATATGTCTGCAATTTTGCTGCCTATGGAGTCTTGTAGGGTTTTTATGGTTTCCCGTCTTACATTCAAGTCCTTTAGCCATTTTGTTTTTGTGTATGGTGTAAGTTGGTGATCTAGTTTCATTTTTTTGCATGTATGTAACCAAATTTCCCAGCACCATTTATTAAAGAGGCTGTTTCAACTCCATTGTATGCTCTTGCCTCCTTTGTCAAATATTAATTGAGTATAATGGCTTGGGTCAATTTCTGGATCCTCTATTGACCAGCAGTTCTCAGCCTGTGGGTTGTGAACAATGAAAATACATCCTGCATATCAGATATTTACATTACAATTCCTAACAGTAGCAAAGTTAGTTATGAAGTAGCAATGAAAATAATTTTATGGTTAGGGGTCACCACAACATGAGAAACTGTATTAAAGGGTCACAGACTTAGGAAGTTTGAGAACCACTCTAATTAGAAAAGAGTGATTATTTCCATCCAATATGACTAGAACCATGACAGAAATAAGCACAGGATAGCACTGGGCCCCAGGGGAGAGTACCTCGCACAGACAGGAAAAGGTAATTAGAAAGACTCTCCTAGAGTACATACCCTTGACCAGAATCAAATCTGGGACCCTTCAGTCCACAGGCTGACGCTCTATTCACTGAGCCAAACCAGTCAGGGCTCTTCTCCTCTCTTCTTTTTCCCTAGAAGAAGGAAAGGAGAAAGGCAGAGGGTTTTGAATCTGTACCAAAAGGAAGGAAAAAGAGCTCTACTTGGACACAGAGCAGTCCAAGTAAGACCCCAGAGGCTTTAAATAGTGTACAAGTTGGGGAATGATGATGTGTTCCAACCATAAAGTGAAAGAAAGGACGGAAAGAGATGAGGTTGGAGAAAGGGGTCCCAGGCTGTCCTCACATGTAAGTTATTACAAAACCTCTCTTTCCCACACTCCCTCCTCACTCTCTTTCTCCCTTTCATCAGGTTCATCTATTTGCTTTAAAATAACCCCTCAATTGAAAATTGAAAACAATTCAGGAAGAAAGACTTGCAACATAAATGGCATCTGTGAATGCTCTGGAAATTAATCCGTTATATACATCATTCTTTTTGAGGTTATTTTATCTTCCTTCTGAAGAGCCCTGGCTGGTTTGGCTAAGTGGATAGAGCGTCATCCTGTGGACTGAAGGGTCCCAGGTTCCAATCCGATCATAGAGGGAGCAGACGGGGAGGAGAAGGGGAGCTCAGTTCAGCTATGCTACCTATCCATTTGGGAGGATTGCTTCGCTTCTCCAGATGTTAGTTCCTTGGTCTGTGAATTCTGAGCGTGGAGCTAGCTGTCCATTAAAGGTCCCTTCCAGCTCTAACATTGCACTAGTTGGTTTTAGACCACGCTGGCAGCCGTGTTAACTGGGTTCAGGAGTAAGAGAAATCGTCCAAACACATTTTGATTACAGTACCGATTGTGTGAGGGTGTATCTATGGAAATAAGAAACTGTGTCATGATGAACTCCCACCTCCACACGTCAGCTTCCTCGGTTCAGCAGAAACTTTTTTTCTAACCTCCAGGCACCCGCCCGAGATCGAGATCACGTGCCAGGCAGCGACGGGGGTTGCCATGGAGCCCGACGCGGACAATAATCATCGGAAGTGGTCCTTGAAAATTACTTTCCCAGGAAACTTGTATTTGAAAAACAATACCATTCTAATTTGCTTTTTCCTAAACTCATAGAGATAGAATCAAACTCTCGCTCGCAGCACAGAAAACGTCGCTCTCTGAAGAACAACATGAACTAACAAGCAAAATAGAGGTACACGCATAGAGGGCAGGCTGACAGCTGGCGGCGAGGAGTTGAGGGGCTGCGGGGAGTGGAGAGATTGAGTAAAAAAAGAAAAAAGAGGAAAAGAAAAACCTCGTGGACACGGACAACAGTGTTGTAATTGCGGGGTGTGGAGCGAGGTGGAGGGTTTAGGGGGGAACACATGGTGATGGAAGGGGACTTGGCTTGGGGTGGTGAACACAATACAGTGTACAGATGATTGTGCACCTGAAACCTGTATAACTTTGTTGGTGTCACCCCAAAAACTCAATAAAAAGGAAGTAAGAGAACCCCAGGACCTCATCCCGACAGGAACTGCCAGTCCTGCGGCGGCGAAGGCGCGGGAACCAAGAAGCCAAAGCACCGGTTCTCCTCGGAGCGCTTCTCCGAACGGACCAGCCCCCCCCCCCCCCCCAGCCCCGCGCGGTTGCCGTGGAGACCGAGCGAGCTGTGGATGCGGAGAAGCGAGGAGGCTTGGCCTTCGCCGTCTGCCTGTCGAGGGGACTCACAGGACCGACGCCAACATGGTTAGTGGCGCTGGACAGGGGGGGAGAACTCTGAGTAAACCCTGGGGCTGGAGCGTCGAGGTTCCCAGCGCCCCTGTCGGTAAAGTTCAGACGTGTCAACCGAGGGTGGTCCCTCCCTGCCTTCCCCGCGTGCCCATGGGGGACAGGGATGCAACTGTGAATACTCGGTGCGGGCTTCCCTCCCGATCCTTTCTTTCCCGGCACCGGAGCTGCGCGTGGCCTGGAGAGCAGGCCCAGGGAAGGAAGGCCGAGCGGACAGAGGCCCCCGGAAAGCATCTCTTGCCGCACCCTAACTGGAGAAGATCCAGGAGTTGGGAGTAGCTATTTGGTTCAGCACAGTGCGGGGCCATGGCCCTTGGAGTAATAACACGTGTTACCACGAAGAGTTTAATAGGCTTCTCTGGGGTTCGTTGTGAAGGGTTCGACTTGCAGATCCTGGAGCTGTCACTGTGGAAAACTGGCCATCATAACTGGATCGTACAGCTGCCTGTCGTTTCTTTCACAGATGCTTTCACGGGCCAAACCTGCTGTAGGTGGGGACCTCCCCCACACGGACAAAAGGAAGAAGAAGGGCAGGAAGATGCCAAAGCTGGAGGAGCTACTGTCACAGAGAGATTTCACCGGAGCTATCACCCTGTTGGAGGTAATGTCCAAAGAAGGTTGTTTCGTAGGAGGTGAATGCCAGGAACAGGGGTGAAGGCGTGTGTGCATGCTGATTGCTATGCGCTGGTACAGGTGGGTGCGATCGGGGGCTTCCTGTACGTCTAGTCAGGCAACGATTCCAGTTTCCCAGTTAGCTACAAATCTGATTAAAGATGAACTATAGGCCCGGCTGGTGTGGCTCAGTGGTTGAACCTCTACCTATGAACCAGGAGGTCATGGTTTGATTCCAATCAGGGCACATGATGGGGTTCCCGGAGGACCCCCAAGTAGGGGGCGTGCAGGAGGCAGCCAGTCAATGATTCTCATCATTGATGTTTCTACCTCTCTCTCCCTCTCCCTTCCTCTCTGAAATCAATAAAAATATATTTTTTAAAAAGACAGACATATTTATTGAGGGACACTTTTAATTATATCTAGCCCCACTAGTGGTGAATCCAGCCTAAAAGTATGGAGGGTCATTTAATAGTCAGTTCATACATTGTTTATCCCAACCCCTGACCAATTTATGATTTATACCGGTTCTAGGTTATAAAATTTTGATTAAATTTAATCTACTGTGCTTCATGCTTATTGTCTTAAATACTAAATCTTCAGAAAATATTTCAATCTCTGTGGCAGTAGTTCTTAAATTTAATATCTCTCCAAACCACCTACGGTGCTTTATATTCCTGGGCTTCTGCCTTACAGATGGATTGATTGATTGATTGATTGATTGATTGATTTGAGAGAGAGGAGGGAGAGAAAGAGAAACATCAGATGCGAGGTTGCCTCCCACATGCACCTCAACTAGGGACGGAAACTGCAACCTAAGTGGTGCACAGGGCAAAGCTCCAAACAATTGAGCCACACGGCCAGGACAGGGATTCTGATTCTTTACAGAATCAGTGCACAGTGGTGCTAAGGAGCCTGTATTTTAGCCACGTAGCCTGCGTGCTTCTGACGTAGGTGCCCCAGGACAGTGCACTGTGAGAAACTGCTTTGTGGAAAGCACATGCTATAGGGGAGTGAGGGAGAATGAAGGGGCGCACCAAAGAATGTACCGGTGATGCTTGACAGCAACCGTGCTTGTCGTACCACAGTCATTTCTCCAAAGCATGATTATAGGCTTAATTGTTTTAATTAGCTTTATATATCTTTCTCAGTCTTCATGGGTAGTCCTACATTTTTTTCCTAGTGATCTGGTATGGAGCACATTATTTAACTTTTTAAAATTATTTTTGATTTTATAGAGGGAGAAATGTTGATTTGTTGTTCCATTATTTATGCATTCATTGGTTGCTTCTTGTATGTATGTGCCCTGACCAGGGGCTGAATCGGCACCTTGGTGTATCGGTCAATGCTCTAACCAACTGAGCTATCTGGCTAGAACTGTTTAACTTTTTTGAATCAGTCTTCTCGTCTTTAAAGTGGGGAGTTGACTTAGAAGGACCTTCTAGCTCTGTAAATTAGTGGACTGAGTGGTGTGTATATGTCTAATTTTTGTCAGACTCTGTTTTTTTTTCTCTCTCTCTTTTTTTAAGGCAATGACCACATTTTCCTTATGTGTAATCCCACACTGCCTTTATGTAGAGTGCCATGATGTATAGGAATGGGAATTTCCATGGGTAGGGATGAGGAAGTCTCATGAACTCTCCTTAATTCCTGGGATAAATTCAGGGAGACCTCAAATAAAACTAAGAATTTCTTCAGATCTAAGGCACTGAACTTAAATTCACAGCATTTGTGAGAGGAGAATTTCTAATGTGATGGAGTTAACTACAGGAGTAACTTCTTATCCCAGACAAGAAAGTATCAGAGAATGCCTTCATCTTATAATAATTAAAGGCATACAATATTTTGTAGCAATGACATGTAAATATGTGTTTCACTATTTAATTTTTCACCCATATTTTTTAAAATTTCTTTTTATTTTGAAAGAGAGAGAAAGAGAGAGAGAGACATTGATTTGTTGTTCCGCCTATTTATGCATTCATTAGTTGATTCTTCTTTTTTTTTAATCCTCATCCAAGGAGTGAGGATATTTTTTTTCATTGATTTTTAGAGAGACTGGAAGGGAAGGGGGATGAGGAGAAAGAGAGAGAGAGAGAGAGAGAGAGAGAGAGAGAGAGAGAGAGAGAGAGAGAGAGAGAAACATCGATGTGAGAGAGACACATCGACTGGTTGCCTCCCACATGCACCCCAACCAATGGGAGGTGGAGATGGAACCTGCAACCTACCTGTCCTTGGCGAAACCCAAAACCCTCCAGTGTGTAGACTGATGCTCTAACCACCTAGATACACTGGCCATGGCCATTGGTTGATTCTTATATGTGCCCTGAATAGGTATCAGACCTGAAACCTTGGTGTAATTCCTGGCCAGGACCTCACCCATGTTTTTGATTTATCAACCTGTGGAGTGAAAACCTCTCACCTGCCCTAACCGGTATGACTCAGCGGATAGAGCGTCGGCCTGTGGACTCAAGGGTCCCAGGTTTGATTCCAGTCAAGGGCATGTACCTTGATTGCGGGCACATCCCCAGTGGGGAGTGTGCAGGAGGCAGCTGATCGATGTTTCTCTCTCATCAATGTTTCTAACTCTCTATCCCTCTCCCTTCCTCTCTGTAAAAATCAATAAAATATATTTAAAAAAAAAAACCAAAAAAAAACCTCTCACCTTACCAAGGTTTCAGACTCCTTCCTTAGGGATCAGTCCTTTCCTCCAACATAGGGCTTTTCTTTTGTTGACTGAAGAATTCATAAATGTTTGTTCCTAGTGGATATATGATGCCAATCTTCTGAGCATCCTTAGCTTCCATAGGTCCTGGTAAGCCTGTTCCAGGGTCGGAGAGTGCTTTAGTGACTTGTCCTCAGTCAACTGTTATAACCTATGAGTAAATATATGTGTATTTTAATGAGACAGGTTTGAACCATGAAGCTGAATGTGGTAGAGCATGGAGGGTGAGAACATGGGATTTGGAGTCAAACATGACTTTAAGTCCCTGCCGCCACCCCTACTGGCTCTATGGCCTGGAGCTTATTGCTTCATCTCTCTACTTTCAATTATTTTGGATTAAATGTTTCACATAATTCTTATGTTTTTATATATCACCCAGAATTGTTATGAGGATAATGCTTAAGTACTTTCTGGAGTGAGGTGTCAGCAAATACAGAAAAATAAACATGAAGTGTTTTAAAATATCAATTTCTGTAATAATTAGAAGGTAATTGTGCTGAGTTATATAGGTATCAGTTTAATTAAATTGGATATTCATTTGTTTCTATTACTTATGATTTTTTATTATGTGTCAGTAATTTAATGTAGCATTTTTTTAAAAAAAAAACAAAAACAAAACAGGGGTTACTTTAAAAATATTTTCTGTGATTTTTTTTTTTCCCCCATGAAATTTTAACCTGAAGTTCAAACGTCATGTTGGGGAACAAGAAGAGGATACTAATTTGTGGATTGGATACTGTGCTTTTCACCTGGGTGACTACAAGAGAGCTTTGGAGGTTAGTAAAAAGAAAATTTATAACAGAAGGGCTTTGAAAATGTTATTAAGCTTTGTATATAATAATACATGCTTATGATAAAATTCAAACAATATAGAAGGGTACAAAGTAAAAAGAAAAAAAACTGTTTCCAATTCTACTTCTTTGTTAATGGAGGCAGCCATTGGCTCTTTTTTGATGCGTTGCTTCAGAATTCTTCTTTATATGTTCAAGTTTGTGTATATCTCTTGTTTACTTTTGCTTTTAGATATAAATTAATGAGGTTGTACAACATATTAACATAACTATTTCTTAAGTAAGTCTTCAGGAAAGGAAAAATAAACCATTTTGATAGAAAAGTTTTTATGAGTCTTTTCTCAAAAGAAGTTCATTTTTATTTTGTTTGGTTATTTTTTAGAGATATGAAAGATTACATTATCTTTAGTTTTGAAGTTGTTTTTCTTGGTCATTGTAATGAACAATCTATAAGATTATGGATCTAGATAAAATTATAAATGCTTTATATCAAGCAATTTTTAATTCATAAATGAAATTGTTTAAACATTTCCCACATATTCTTACTCCCCAAATGTAACCTAAGGGTATTTAAAGACCCTGCATAACTAAAACGAAAGTATCCAAGATCAGGTAATGTGGTAAGATGAACAAAAGCAACAAAATTGGTGAAGGAAAAGAGAAGATGTGAAAAGGACAGTATAGACTAGAGCAGGGGTGGGCAAACTTTTTGACTCGAGGGCCACAATGGGTTCTTAAACTGGACCGGAGGGCCGGAACAAAAGCATGGATGGAGTGTTTGTGTGAACTAATATAAATTCAAAGTAAACATCATTACATAAAAGGGTACGGTCTTTTTTTTCAATAGTTTTATTCATTTGATCCGGCCCGCGGGCGTAGTTTGCCCACGGCTGGACTAGAGGCTGGTAGTGTTTGTGAAAGATGTAGGAGAAAGGAGAGTAACCCAAATGTAATAAGAAAAAACAAAGGCATCTAGTATAGACTGATAAATAGTAAGAGTATATGGAAAGTGTAGTTGACAAAGTGAATCTCAGAAAGAGATTGTGGGTAGGGGGAAAAAAGGCTTTTAAAAAATGTAAAGCCAAGTCGAAACTGGTTTGGCTCAGTGGATAGAGCATCGGCCTGGGGACTGAAGGGTCCCAGGTTCAATTCCGGTCAAGGGCATGTACCTGGGTTGCGGGAACATCCCCAGTGGGAGATGTGCGGGAGGCAGCTGATGGATGTTTCTCTCTCATCGATGTTTCTAACTCTCTGTCCCTCTCCCTTCCTCTCTGTAAAAAAATCAATAAAATATATTTTAAAAAAATAAATTAAAAAAAATAAAAAATGTAAAGCCAAATAAAGCCAGAGAACAATTAGAATGAAGTGAAATTTGTAGTGTAGTAATGCTATCAGATTTTAAGTTAAGTAATGCTATGCATTTTTATAAAGTATCTTTTGTATGTCTTTTTAAGTTAGTAAAAATAAAATATTTTCATAACTTTTCATTTATGCAGTTTATAGCTCATATCATTGTTAAAAAGAGGAAAAAGCAAGTGTAAGAGTCTATGGACCACAGTCCTACATGGGTGGGATTGAGCTTTAGCTGCACTATTTCGTTTGTTTGTTTGTTTGTCTTTTGTTAATCCTCATCCGAGGATATTTTTTCATTGATTTTTAGAGAGAGTGGAAGGGAGGGAGGGGGAGAAACAGAGAGAGAGAGAGACATAGATATGAGAGAAACACATCAATTGGTTGCCTCCCACACACGCCCGACCTGGGGAGATCAAGCCTGTAAGATGGAGCCAAACCGGGCAGGGCTGCAGTGTTTTAACCTTCCAGGTAGGGAACAGTTGAGCATTCAGATTCCCTAAGTACGGAGTTTTCCAATCTCAGTAAGAAATCCTATTCCGCCCTGACTGGTTTGGCTCAGTGGATAGAGCGTCGGCCTGCGGACTGAAGGGTCCCGGGTTCGATTCCGGTCAAGGGCATGTACCTTGGTTGCGGGCACATCCCCAGTAGGAGGTGTGCAGGAGGCAGCTGATCGATGTTTCTCTCTCATCGATGTTTCTAACTCTCTATCCCTTTCCCTTACTCTCTGTAAAAAATCAATAAAATATATTTTTTAAAAATCCTATTCCATCAGAGAAGGATGGCCCATCTATTACGTTATTGCTGAAATAACATCACTGCTTAATATATATTTCAGGAATATGAAAATGTGACAAAAGAGGAAAATTGCAATCCTGAAGTGTGGGTGAATCTAGCCTGTACCTACTTTTTTCTTGGAATGTATAAGCAAGCTGAAGCTGCTGGATTCAAAGGTAAAATGGGCCCCTTTAATGTCTGGTATTCCTCACTAATTGTAAGAGTCATTTTGGAGATTTAAAAATTTATTTAATTTCTTTTTCTGTTGATGAAAGTTCAAGTGATATAAGAAAGTTAAAAAATAGCTTTACTCTTCAAAGAATATTTGATTTGAGCAAATTTATGTTTGTGCTCTGGCCGGGAAGCTTAGTTGGTTAGAACGTCAACCCAACACACCAAGGTTGTGTGTGCTGCTCCCCACCACCCTTTCTTAGAAGGTACAGCTTCTGGCAGAAGAATGAGGGAAGAAAAACAGCAAGGTATCTTTCTTAGGCCCTGGCTTGAGAGCATGTTCATGCTTTTTTTTTTTTTTTTTTAATATATTTTATTGATTTTTTTACAGAGAGGAAGGGAGAGGGATAGAGAGCCAGAAACATCGATGAGAGAGAAACATCGATCAGCTGCCTCCCACACATCTCCCACTGGGGATGTGCCTGCAACCCAGGTACATGCCCTTGACCGGAATCGAACCCGGGACCCTTCAGTCCGCAGGCCGACGCTCCATCCACTGAGCCAAACCGGCTTCGGCGCATGTTCATGCTTTTGGTGGGAGTGGGGGACAGGGTTCAGCTCTTACGGATGTGGATTTTATAGCTGCTGTTTCTGCTTCTGAGTGAGAAGCCAAGTACTTTCAGCATGAAGAATCTGTACATCATTACGTTTGCTTTACTTGTCAAGACAGTAATTTTGGAGAAGTAGACACAAATTTGCAAACAAGAGTAGGGCAAAGGGAAATATGGGAGGAAAGATTAAGAATTCGAGTATGAATCAAATTAAATTCAAAGAAGTGTGGAGAAAGTGGGCAAGGTAATGTATTTTAAGAAACCTGTGCCCAGGCCAGTGTCGCTCAGTTGGTTGAGCATTGTCCCATGCAGCGAAAGGTTGCAGGTTTGATTCTGGTCAGGGCACATACCCAGGTTGTGGATTCGATCCCCCATCCCCAGTCAGTGTGTGCATTGTTATTTCTCTCTCTCTCTCCCTCCCTCTCCCTTCCTCTCTCTCTAAAAAAAACAAACAATAAAAACATATTTAAACCAACAAAAAATAAATAAATTTGTTAGGGAAGAATGTATTCCAGGGTAGAATTCTTAGTGAATTAACTGACATACATATTTAGAATTTCAGCTCAAATTCATGGAAAATATGGAACTTAAAGCCTTTCTTGATTTGTACCCAAATTGTGTCATATGTACTAATGTAGTTTTCCTCAATTATTTATAAGGGCCTTTAAGTTACTTGCTTTATCTGTGCCTAGAACAGTGTTAGACACACAGAAGGTGGTCAAGGTAGCTATATATCTTTTCATTGTTTCTAAAGTTTTATTTATTGATTTTAGGAAGAGAGAGAGAGAGAGAGAGAGAGAGAGAGAGAGAGAGAGAGAGAGAAATATCAATTTGTTGTTCCACTTATTTATGTATTCATTGCTTGATTCTTCTATGTGCCCTGACAAGGGATGGAAACCGCAACCTTGGTATATTGGGTCAACACTCTAACCAACTGAGCTACCTGGCCAGAACTATTTTTATTTTTTTATACATTGAAGTATGACTTTTTGCTGTAAAAAGATATAAGATTGAGTGTACAAAATTAGTAAAATTCTTCAAAAGTGCAAAGAGGATTTTGAACTTGAAAGGTGTTAACCTTTTTGCTTGGCTGCCTGTTTGATTGTAGCAGATTATCGTGCTAGAAGATCTATGGAGAAGAGGCTGGTCTAGCACTTAATAAAATATGGTGGTATAACTGTAGAAAAAGAGATTTCAGAAGGAATTGACAAAGCATACTGGGGAGAACAGCTGAATGAGAATGGATTCCTACATGTATTGAAATGACCATAACTGTTTATTTCCAGTTTTTGGTTCAGCGAACAGCACAGTGGTGGGCTGTGGTCCGCCATAATAGATTCAGGTAGAACAAGTGATGGGGAAAAGCAGAGCCTTAGGACATTTTTCTTCTGGTTCTTGATACTGTCACACAGGGAAACTAGACTAAAATAATATGTATTGTTATGTAGCAGAGATATGCCAGGAACAGATAAGTAAGGATTTGGGAAGTCTTATCTGAGTCTCATGTCATTCCTGCATGGGACTAAGTGCCATAGGCAATTAAGTTCTTTAATAAGCAGCTTGGATTTTTCTTTTTTAGCTCCAAAAAGCCGACTTCAAAACCGCCTCCTCTTTCATTTGGCTCACAAGGTATTCCAATTTCACCCATTTAAAAAAAAAAAAATCTTTTTTTCTTTTTCTTGTTACCAACAATGGTAAGAAATAATTAACTAGAAATTCTTGCTATGTCTAGTGGATTGAAACACAGATCATAATAAAATGCCTGTCTTTATCTGTAAAACTCTTTTTCATATAAAGTCTACTTTGTCATCTTTATATAGCTACACCAGATCTTTTTTGATTACTGTTGGCTTGTTATGATTCTTTACATCCTTTTACTTTCTACTTCTTTGTATCCTTATATTTTAAATGCCTCTCTTGTAGACAGCATATAAAAAAGGGTAAAGAGGTCCTGGCTAGGTAGTTCAGTTGGTTAGAGTGTTGTTACAGTACATCAAGGTTGTAGGATTGATTCCCCGCCATACAAGGGCACATACAAGAAACAACCAATGAATGCATAAGTAAGTGGAGCAGCAAAATCAATGTTTCTCTCTCCTGTGTCTCCCTTCCTCTCTCCCTCTAAAATAAATTTTTTTTAAAAAGAAGCCTAGCTGATGTGGCTCAGTGGTAGAGCATTGACCCATGCATCAAGAGGTCACTGGTTCCATTCTAGGTCAGGGCACATACCCAGGTTGTGGGCTCGATCCCCAGTAGGGGGCGCACAGGAGGCAGCCAATCAATGTCTTGCTCTCACATCAATATTTCTCTCCCTCTCTCTCTCTCCCTTCCTCTCTCTCTAATATCAATTAAAAACATATTTTTTTTTAAAAGAAAAGATAAAGAGACAAAGAAAATAAGGACAGGGAGAAAATATCAAGAAAAAAATAGAAAAGAAAAAGAAGGTAAGAGAAAGAGGGAAGAGGGATCAAGTAAGTTATATGATCTCTAACTTAAAGGCTTTCCATTGTCAAGACTATGCCTCCAGAAGCTATTTTCATTCTTTCTCTGAAGGATAGACAAAGGAGAAGACAAGAACTGAAGGGAAATAGAGAGAACATAGAGACAAAATAGCTGGAGGAGGAGGAGTTAAAGTCTCTATAAAGTAGGTGTGATATCTCTGACTATACTCTAATATGAATTTTATTTAACATTAAATTTAGAGAGAGGAAGGGAGAGAGAGAGAGAGAGAGAGAGAGAGAGAGAGAGAGAGAGAGAGAGAGAGGGATACTGATGTGTTGTTCTACTTATTTATGCATTCATTGATTGTTTATTGTAGGTACCCTGACTGGGGGTGGAATGTGCAACCTTAGTATATCAGGACAATGCTCTAACCAATTGAGCTACCCAGCCAGGGCTAATGTGAAACTTTACATGTCTTTTTCTCTCTTACATTTTAGTTTAATGATGAGAAGAAGTTGATGAACTTCCATCAGAATCTCCAGGACATCACAGAAGATCAGCTCAGTTTGGCCTCAATCCACTATATGCGATCTCACTACCAAGAAGCTATTGATATTTATAAGCGAATTCTGCTAGATAACAGGTCTGTGTTCTTTTATGCCTACTCAAAATCTCATTTTGTTAGTTTCTTCTGTAACTAGTTTGGCCAAAGACATAGTGTCCTTTAGATCTAGTATCACCATGTGTTCAAATCTGTTAGCTAATCTGGTGAGCGTAAGAACTCTTTATTGTCTAGTTCAGTGATGGCAAACCTTTTGAGCTTGGTGTGTGAGCATTTTAAAAAACCCTAACTTAACTCTGGTGCCGTATCACATATAGAAATTTTTTTATATTGCAACCATAGTAAAACAAAGAATTATATTTTTCATATTTATTTTATATATTTAAATGCCATTTAACAAAGAAAAATCAACCAAAAAAATGAGTTCGCGTGTCACCTCTGACATGCATGTCATAGGTTCGCCATCACTGGTCTAGATCAAGGTTTCTCCACCTTTATTTCATTATCACCCTTCCAAGGAGCCTTTTTAGACCCTTTTTCCCCCTAATTGCCCTCCCATGAAATTTTAATACCACATATATACTGTCTATTTGTTTATGTACTGTATGTATAGCTATGCTTTGTATATAAAATTAGTATAATTTCCCACCTCTTTATAAGAACCAATTATTGCCCCATTTATGAGTGATATTTCCCCTATTGAAATTGTATGGTCTAGGTCAGTGGTTGACAAACCACGGCTCGCGAGCCACATGCGACTCTTTGGCCCTTTGAGTGTGGCTCTTCCACAAAATACCATGTGCGGGCACGCACGTACAGTGCAATTGAAACTTCGTGGCCCATGCGCAGAAGTCAGTTTTCGGCCTGGGCGAATCTATTTTGAAGAAGTGGCGTTGGAAGAAGTGGGGGGTGGATATATAGAGAGGATGAACGAAAGGAGATAGACGAAACAAGTATACAAGACGAGTGTGGATGGGAGAGTTGGAAGGGGTCGACCTCAGCAGACGTACGTCAATCAGATTGAGGATGTTTTTAGCAAAGGCCAGCGTAGGAGTACCCTAATTAAGTTAATAACAATGTACCTACCTATATAGTTTAAGTTTAAAAAATTTGGCTCTCAAAAGAAATTTCAATCGTTGTACTGTTGATATTTGGCTTTGTTGACTAATGTGTTTGCTGACCACTGATCTAGGTGTATCAATTTCAAAGCTGCAGTACCTTTTAGGTAACTTGGTGATGAAATTGGAAAAATTAACATTGCAACTTTATCACTGACCACTTTGCCTCTCTCCCACATCCCCAAAATATCTCATCCACCTCTTTTTTCCCTTCTTTTACTTTACTTTCACAGTCTCCCATTCGTTCCCATTTTAAGTCACCAGGTCTACTTGCCTTGACTGTCCATCTTCTGTATGGTGTGTGCTTATTTGCATTTATACTCAATTATGTTGTATGTTAGTTTTTTTTTAACATAAACAGGTAGGACTTAAACTTTTCACTTGCTTCTCTAATTGTCATCCTTTTTTCTACTTATCAAAACATCCAAAATTACAATACCAAAAGAGAAATCCTACACTGATTACACCTTGCCTTCTTTCTTCAAAAGGCAAATTCACATCCTCTTTGCCTTGCTGCTCTTCTTGGCCGTTAAAAAAGTCTTTGTAGTTTGACAGCATTTCTGTTAACCTTTAATTCTTTTATCTAATAGGGAATACCTTGCCCTTAATGTTTATGTGGCTCTGTGTTACTACAAGTTGGATTACTATGATGTGTCTCAAGAAGTTCTGGCTGTTTACCTTCAGCAAATTCCTGATAGCACCATCGCACTCAATCTTAAGGCCTGTAATCATTTTCGTCTTTACAATGGCAAAGCAGCTGAGGTAGTGACGGAAATTCATTTTTTAACTTAATTCCAGTTCAAATTACCCTATGTTTCCCGGGTTATTCATGAAACTATTATCTTGATCAATACACCTTTAGTATTGCCAGTATGATTCTATATGAACCTAATTACTTCAATATTTATATTTACCAGATATTCTAAAAAGAATCTTGACTTCTAAATTCTCTGTGTATGCCTAATATATTGTAGATGATCTTTTCCTAGATGCCCTACATTAACTCAAATATGTTAAAATCAGATATTTTCACTTCTTCCTCCAAAATATTTTTGAGGCTCTTTGGTTCAGTGTCAGCAATATATAAATCACATCCGATCCTAGGATATCCATCACTCTCTTCTCTTTCATTCCCCATCTAATCATTTACCAGTTCCTACCAGTTCTGTGTTCTAGATATCCCTTTTGTCTGCTTTCTCCTTTGCCACTTGCTCTAGTCCTCATCACTTATTTCAGTTCTTTCCCTGCCTCTAGTCTTGTCCTCTCCGGCCCAACCAGTGAGTTTGCTCCATACGCCATACTCTCTGACTGCCAAAGCTTTGCATACACCTTTCTCATTCCTGGCTGTCTTCCTTTGGTTGGTACACTTCAGTGTCTCCTTCAAGGTTATTATAAGAATCAATAGTGGTAGACGTTTTATAAATATTTAGAACTTAGCTACCTTATAAGTTCTGTGCAGAGCACTTTATATCCTTTATTTCGTTTCCCTGACAACCCTGTGGTAAATTCTGTTAGAGCTCTCTTTTTATAGGAAACTACTGAGAGTACACAGGAGGCCATACATTATGACCCCCCTTTTATTTAATATTTCACACACACACATGCATGCATATATACACGTGTATATAGCTATAAATATATGTAGATAGCATGTTCTATACTATAGCTATGTACAGATTTGGTTATTTACGGGGGCGGGGGTAGGATTACAGTTGTGACTATGCAGAACACAAGAGTTTACTTTGTGTTATTATTTATTAATTATTTTATTATTTTTCCATATAAACAACTATAAACCTATTTTGCCCAACCTTGTACAAATTTTTTTAAAAGAATAATTTATTAGAGAGAGAGAAAGGGAGAGGGAGAGAGAGATAGCAACATCAATTGGCTGCCTCCTGCATGCCCCCTACCAGGTATTGAGCCCAAAACCTCCTGGTGGTGGTAATTGAACCAGCAGACTCCTGGTTTACAAGACGGTGACCAACCAACTGAGCCACACTGGCCAGGTCTTGTACACATATATTTAAATTAACTCTATGAGGCGACCATGTTTGGAAATTATTTCTTGGGCATTACTTTATGTCAGAAGCCACCAAAATTTAAAAGTAAAATTTCTGCATGTGTCAAAATTTTAAAATCCTACCCTTATCCGAAAGAGTTTTTACTGGTATGCCACCCAGAGTAAGAGGAGGAAAGAAAGAAACTGAAACCAGCAAATTGACTATATTAAGGTAAAATTTGTGAAAATGTAATAGCAAGGAACTTACTTCATGCTGACAGGATATTCAACTCCTCAGGGAAACAGTGTGTAGTAGTTGGCAGGGAAGGAGGAAGGGTGTAGAGCACATGTCTTTAGCATAAGCCCAGATTCACTTTCTGTGGCTTATGTCAATAAAGGTGGTTAGTTGTGGCAAAAGAAATGCCTGTCAATTAAATTGCTCAGTATGCAATCGAACAGTCCATTTATATATTCCATAAAATACATTCTTGGGTATGCTCATTTCAACTAAAGAGTCCCTTGAGTCTATCTAATTGGCTAGTTTCCAGCATCAGCAGTTTAATAGTAAACTGGGTTTGCAATTTGATCTCTTCAGAATTTTCATCCTTGGTAAGAACAAAGAAAAGAAATATATTTTTGCCTTTCTACCTTGAATCAATCTTGGGGACATTGCCAGTTTTATTTGCACATGTCCTATCTATAGTCTGGTGTGAGTAGCATGGTTAACCAGTATTCTGTAGGTCTAGTGCTATCCAAGTCAGGTTGCCAAACTGCACTTCCCATCTCCAAAAGGCATGCTTTTTCATTTGAAATTGTCAGTGCAGCTTACATATCTATATGTATAAAAGCTTAAGCCAGTGATGGCGAACCTATGATACACGTGTCAGAGGTGACACATGAACTCATTTTTTTGGTTGATTTTTCTTTGTTAAATGGCATTTAAATATATAAAATAAATATCAAAAATGTAAATCTTTGTTTTACTATGGTTGCAAATGTCAAAACATTTCTATATGTGACACGGCACCAGAGTTAAGTTAGGGTTTTTCTTTTTTTTTTTTTTTTTAATATATTTTATTGATTTTTCACAGAGAGGAAGGGAGAGATATAGAGAGTTAGAAACATCGATGAGAGAGAAACATCGATCAGCTGCCTCCCACACATCTCCTCCCACTGGGGATATGCCCGCAACCCAGGTACATGCCCTTGACCGGAATCGAACCTAGGACCCTTCAGTCCGCAGGCCGACGCTCTATCCACTGAGCCAAACCGGTTTCGGCAAGTTAGGGTTTTTCAAAATGCTGACATGCCGAGCTCAAAAGGTTCGCCATCACTGGCCTAAGCAATCAAATGACCAGTCAACTGGTTGCTATGACACGCACTGACCACCAGGGGACAGATGCTCAACGCACAGGATCGGGCTCCCTCCTGTCCAGATTGGGCCTGTGGGGATTGGGCTCCCTCCTGTCTGGATCAGGCCTGCGGGAATCAGGCCAAAACCAAGTATCTGACATCCCCCAAGGGGTCCTGGATTGCAAGAGGGCACAGGCCAAGCCGAGGGACCCTACTAGTGCACGAATTCGTGCATTGGGCCTCTAGTAAATTTATAATTCCCTATCACTTTGGCCTCATGTATTCCTCCTTCAGCAGCCCTAATAGCACTTCTCTAGTAATCATGAAATAATTTGTAATGACTGACTTAATTCTTAATGTACTTTTAATAACTTAAGATTTTACAAGTATCAAATTTAGGTCTCGAACCCATGTCCATCTGGCCCTCTAGTCTATTGATCCATTTGTCTACTCCTGCTCTCAGCACCATACTGCCTTAATTACTACAGCTTTACAATAACATTTCACAGGATTCAGTTAGCTAATATTCCATTTAAGATTTTTACGTCAATACTTATCAGTTTGATTAGTCTATAATTTCTATTTGTCTCACCTATTTCTTTTTCTCTCCTTTTTGAGTCATTTTTTGGATTGTTTTTGATTGGCTATTTTTATCTTCTATTTTTCCTTTGCTAGTTTCAGAAGTTATACACTCTGTTTTTATGTTAGTGCTTACCATAAAAATTACTACAGACATCCTTCATTTAACCAAGGTTAATGTTAATTTTAATTCTCCTCCTAAGCAATACAAAGATTTGACAATATTTTCACTTCATTTACCACCTTCCTAAATCATATGCTTTTTTGTCTTGTTCTTTAGTATCATATTTTAAAAATATTTTTTTATTGATTATTTATTTATTTTTTTTTTTAGAGAGAGGAAGGGAGAGGGAGAGAGGAAAAAACAACAACATTGATTGATTGTCTCCTGTACACATCCTGACATGGGACCGACAGAAATCACAACCTGGGCATATGCCTGACTGGGAATCGAACAGGCAACCCTTTGGTGCATAAGATGACACTCAACCAACTGAGCCACACCGGCCAGGGCTTTAGTATCATATTTTTAAAAAATTATTGCTGTTAAATCTATTCATTTATTTAGTGTTACCAACATTTAAATATCATAGTTTTTCCTTTTTATTCTTTTTTTTGGGGGGGGAGTACCTATTTTATTTTTTAATATATATTTTTATTGTTAATAGTATCACCTATGTCTCCCTTTTAATTTTTACTTGTAACTGAAACCTTTAATCTGGGATTCTTTTCTTATTAATTGAAGTAAAATTTATCCTTCGGGCCCTGGCCAGGTAGCTCAGCTGGTTAGAGCATGATCCTGATACGCCAAAGTTTCAGGCTGGATCCTCAGGGCACATACGAGAATCAACCAATTAATGCATAAATAAGTGAAAGAACAAATCAATGTTTCTGTCCCTCTCTGTGTTACTACACAGAGATACTAATTGAAGTATTTATTTTCTCTCTCCTTTATTCTCTCTCTAAAATTAATAAATAATTTTTTAAAAATTAAAAATAAAGTTTTCCTTCACATTTCCTTTAGTGAGAGTCTGGTGGCAAATTCTGTTTTTGTTGGTCTTAAGATGTCTCTATTTTGCTTTTATATATTATAAGATATTTTCATTAGGTATAGAGTACCTATTGGCCCATTGAAGATATCTTTCCATGATCTAGCTCCATTTTTATGTTAAGAAGTTAGCTATCATTCTGACTTTATTTGAAAGTAATCCATCTTTTTAATAAAAATTTAATTTTAAAAACTTTTCATTGTTTTTATTTCCTTCAGTTTTACTATTATTTAACTAGATGTGAACTTAAAAAAAAAATTTGTCCTCATGGGACTTACTGAATTGGTGGATTAATGAGTCTAATCAGAGAAAATTCTCAAAAATTTTTTAAATTTTTTTTCAGATTTTTCTTCTACCCATTGTTGCTCATATTTCACTCAGGCACATATGTTAGACCCTTTTACAGTATTATCTAATCCTACCCTCTTTTTGTTATTTTTCCTCCTTTTGTCTCTCTGTGCTATACTCTGCAGAATTTCTTCACACCTGTTTTCCCATTCATTAATTCTTTCTTATGACATGCCTAACCTATTGCAAAACCTAGTGTAGGGGGCTCTAGGGATTTCAGGGCTGATCAAAGAAACAGATATGACCATGAGGTGACAATAGCACCCACAAACTTTATTTGGGTGGCTCTTTGAAAAGTTTTGGAGGGGGGCGTCTCTTAGAGCATGTGACTGTCTGGAGGCTATGGCACAGAGACCACCATCCAGAATGGGAGGAGGAGGGTACAGTCACTCCAGGGAGGAGGGGATTTGGATAGGAGCTTATCTAGAGGATGTCTCTCAGCAGCAGGGAGGGAGTGTTGGGGTCAGAGACTGCTTGAGGTCTGATAGGCAACAGCAGCTTAGGTTCTTTTTAAAAAATATATTTTCATTTATTTCAGAGAGTGGAAGAAAGAGGGAGAGAGCAATAGAAACATTGATGAAAGAGAAACATCGATTGACTGCCTCGTGCATGCCCCCTACTGGGGATGGAGCACGAAGCCTGGCCATGTGCTCTGACCAAGAATCAAACTGTGACTTGGTTCATAGGAGACGCTCAACCAATTGAACCATGCCAGCTGGGCAGGTTAGGTTCTTTATAGCTCTAGGATTTATCTTATCTATGGCTGGCAGATGTCTGGAAAGTTTGTGAGGTATGAAAACCAGGCAGGATATCAAGGATTAAAAATGTGCTTATTTGGGCCACATTTAAAACAAACTGGATGAGTAAAATTTAAGCTGATTTTTTAAAAATGTTTTTTAGAAAGCTTTTGAGTTAATGGATCTCAGCCTGCTGTGAAAATATAAACAAGCTGGGGGCCAATATACAGTGGTCATTTTTGGCTCACTTATATGACACTTAGCCATACAGTTATTAATTTTGTTTAAAATATTTTATATTTCTAGAAGTTCTTTATTTCTTAAAAAATCTTCACTTTTTATCATTTCCAGTATTATGCTTTTAGGCTTGTCTTTTATTATCTTGAACATAGTCAGCATACTTGTTTTGTGATCTGAGTTTAACAATTTGAATTTATGAAATTTTTGTGGCTCTAATTCTGTTTTTTTCTCGTTTCTCCTGGTTCTCCCTCAAGGAGTGTAGTGTCTTTGTATAGTAATAATTTAAGGCCTACAACGAAGGTACTTTTCTCCCTAAGTGATATGCATTTTCTACATCAGACACCCCGGAGAACTGTCAGTTTGGGACCACCTTGAACCAAGCTCAAGGCATGAGATTGCCTGCACTGCCTATGCAGTCCTAGCTGGGCGATGATCCTGTGTGAGGGATGTTCCAGTTCTGTTCATCCTGCCCTTGCCAGTGGAGCTCTGTGGAGTCCTGGCTGATTGTGGGGAAGGGTGTCCTGCCAGCCTCCCTGTGCAGGTCCTGAGCTTTGTTTTTTGTTCTTGTTGCCTGGCAAGACTATCAACAACTAAAAGTTTTAATTTTAGCCCAGCCAGAGCGGCTCAGTTGTTTGAATGTGGTCCTGTGCACCGAAGGGTTGCTTGTTCAATTCCCAGTCAGGGCACATGCCTGAGTAGCGGGTTTAGTCCCCAGCCGTGGAACTTGTGGAAAGCAGCCGATCGATGTTTCTCTCTCAGCATGTCCATGGAGAAGGATTAAAAATAAATAAATATTTAAAAAAATTTTATAGAATCAATAAAGCCTTCAGGGAAATAATGGTTTTCATGCTTGCTACCTTCTCTAGGTTCTGTTTTCCCCTTCATTTTTGGTCTGGCAACTTCTTCCTTTCTTTGATATTCTTAAGAAAATGTTTAAGAGTATGTCTATTTTTATTCAGTTGTTTTCAATGAGAGCATTGATTTGAATAATCTAGCCCAGTGGCTCTCAAATTGTGATCTGGGACTATAGTTCATGGAATCTGTAAAACTTAGTGTAGGAGGTTCCAGGGATTTCAGGGCTGAACAAAGAAACAGATATGACCATGATTGCCTGAACTGCCTATGCCAGTGGTTCTCAACCTTCCTAATACCGCGACCCTTTAACCCTTTTCGGTCCAACGTGGAGGCTGACTCGACAGACCAGGCGCTAGGAGCAGGTCCAACGTCGAGGCTGAGGTCGACACCGCAAACCGGTTCAACATTCAATCCCATCAATTAATTTGGACCAGACTATTTGAATTCCAAAAATAAAATTGGACCGCAAAGGGTTAATATAGTTCCTCATGTTGTGGTGACCCCCAATTTCATTGTTACAAATTTAACATAATTAAAGCATAGTGATTAATCACAAAACAATATGTAATTATATATGTGTTTTCCGATGGTCTTAGGCGACCCTTGTGAAAGGGTTGTTCGACCCCCAAAGGGTTCGCGACCCACAGGTTGAGAACCGCTGGCCTATGCAATCCTAGCTGGGCAATGATCCTGTGTTAGGGATGTTCTGGGGCCTGGATTGTGTGAGGCGAGCAACCTGCTTAGGTGCAAAATTGAAAAGTCAGCAATTGCATACTGCACAGATGTGAGTGGTGCTGCTTTAAATCTGTGTCGTAGGCACCTACTTGCCTCACCCTTAGTTCTGGCTAGCCCTGCCGGAGATTTAAACTATCTTCAGAATACTAAAAGATCTCTTTCCACTTTCATTCTCTCAAGTGTTCAAGTTTTCCAGAGATAGTGTGATTTCAAAATAGTTCAAATGCAGTTACAGATATGCCAATCTAGCTGTCCTCTATTAAGCCAGACATTAGAGAGATTTGCAAGAATGTTAAACAGTGAGACAGGCCAGTAAGCCAGGACAAGTGGAATAGGGAAACTGAACAGATAGCTGAACAAACTGGTTGAGCAATTAACAGCCAGATACAGGAGTTCACCTCCCTAGAGATAACACTCAGGCCTCAGTTGTATTTCATTCAGCTCCAGGCCCAGAAAAGCAGCAAAAACAGATGGGACCAGCTCAGGGACTAATGACCCCCTGGCACTGACCAATCAGTGGAGACCATGACCTTGAAAGAGCACACATGGAAAACTGATGAATATTCTGCTGAAACCCTCCCCTAAGATACCTGCCTGCAAGAGAGAGATAAAAACCCTCAAGACAAAGGACTCAGCTCTTACTCTCCCTCCAGGGAGCCAACCTGCGCCATTTCTTTCCCCTCGTCCTCTACAGACGTGCACCTCCTAAACTCTGAGGGTCCCCAAGAGACTCACAACCAGGGGAGCCATGGGCAGCAGCCGCTCCTCTCAGACTAATCCTCAAACCTGTCTCCAAGGTTCCCTTTTCTCTGACATCCCAGTGAGCCAGAGTTCTCCTGTTGCTTTCTATGCTAAGCCCTTTCTTGCTTCACTGTCCCTAGCTTTAATAAACACACCCCCATATTCATCTGGACTCCTGTTGTGAAATCTTTCCTGCAGCTGGCCCTAGGCAGACCCTAGGGCCAGGTCCCATTCTTCTCACAAAATTTTTGTCTTGGAAAATATAGTTGTTTTAAATTTTAAAAAGTTATTTATGTTAATGTATAGTAGATTTATATTTTTTGATTAATTGAATACTTACATTTTTTGTTTTAATTCAATAAATAATGATGGCTATAACCCACATAAACAACAGCTGTTTGGGATCCTTAATAATATTTAAGATTATAAAAGGGATCTTGAGATTTCAAAGCTTGAGATTATCTAGCCTAATATTACCCAACACTTTGGAATCGCTGCTGTGATCAAGAGAAGAGATTAATAAAAGGATTGCTGAGTAGACATGCACTCCTGTCTGAGGTCACGTAGAACAGCTTATCGTAGTTAGTGTGCATAATCAAGAATTTAATCATTTTATCCACAAAACCTTAGCTACCCACTGATGAAAGTAGAAAAAGGAGGAAGAGAGAATTACCCCAAATCATAGATTGGCAAGGTAGAGATAGCAGAAAGCTGTGGAAGGGGTGAGTCTAGTGTCTTAGTAAAGACACTGGAAATGACTGACCATTTATTCTAAGGGGTGTTAAGGGGGTAAGAGAATGCAGAAGAGGTCTAATAAATAATAAAGTAGAAGGAAGAGGTATTTTATTTGATTGATCGATTGATTTGAGGGAGAGAGAGAGAAATGTCAATTTGTTGTTTCACTTATGTATGCACTCATTGGTATGTGCCCTAACCAGGGATCCAATCTGAAATCTTGTACAAAGATGACCCTCTAACTAACTGAGCTATCCTGCCAGGGTGGGAAGAGGCATTTTAATTGAGTTATGTAAACAAACAGCAATTCAGCAGGAAGGAGTTACCCTGAGAATTCAGGATATAGGTGGAATGGTCAGATTGAAGGGTCAGCCTCAGTTGCTAAAAGTTTAACTCCTTGCCCAGCCGGTGTTGCTCAGTGGTTGAGTGTCAAACCATACACCAGGAGGTCGCTGGTTCGATTTCTGGTCAGAGCACACGCCTGGGTTGCCAGCTCATCCCTAGTAGGGGGTGGGATGGACATTGGCAGACGATCAACGTTGATGTTTCTCTCTCATCAGTGTTTCTATCTCTCTCTCCCTCTCCCTTCCTTTCTGTCTAAAATCAATAACAAAAACATATTTTTAAAAAAGAAACTTTAACTCCTTTATTACCTTTGGCCCTGAGAAAAGACTAACTCAAGGAGTCTTCAGACTTGGGTTCACCAATTTCAAACTTGCTGGTTAATATAAGGTTCAAGTCACTAAACTTTTATAGGCCTCAATGTTCTCAACTGTAAAATGAGGATAATCATAATTATGTTATTTCTTAGAGTCCTGGGGAACAAATGAAATAGCATGTTAAATTCTTTGAAGCTATAAAGCATTGTGCAAATATGTGGTGTTAGAACTACATATGTGTTGTTTTCATAAGTCTTTCCTTTTTCAATTTCAGGCAGAACTCAAAAGCTTGATGGACAATGCTTCTTCTTCCTTTGAATTTGCGAAGGAACTCATCAGGCACAATCTGGTGAAGAATAGTTCCCCGTCTTGAGTGACTTGAGTCCTATCCTATTCCCTACATCTCAGCCATTAGAAAGATGAACAAAGGGAGATAGCTCAGCAAGTAGTCCTCTACTCCAAGGGAACTCCTTGCTGTCGAGGAGAGAAAATGTGTTTATAAAATATCAGGTCCTTTTAGCATGGAAATCCTTAGTGGGAGGGCAGTAATATATAGTGTGGCCAAAAGTAGGTTTATAATTATAATACAAGTAAATAATACATAATAATGATACAAGAATAAACTGTTTCGTGTACTTGCAACTGTAAACCTACTTTTCCCCATATAGAGGGTGGGGCATAAGTAGGTTCACAGTTGGTCATATGGAAAATAACACAATCCTATATAATAAACAGAAAAAAAAAAGGAAATATGCAAATTAATCCTTACACCCTCACAAGATGGCTGCCTATGACCAGGCCCACAGTGGGGTTAGTGAGGGATGACCAATGACTGAACAAGCAGGCTGCGTGGGGCAACCAGGCCAACAGGAGGGTTAGTGAAGGACGACCAAACGACTGAACAGCAGGCTGCATAGGGTGACCAGGCCGGCAGGGGGGCCATGAGGAGCAACCAGGCCAGCAGGGGGGGCAGTTGGGGGCCACCAGGCCGGCAGGGGGGGCAGTTGGGGTGACCAGGCTGGCAGAGGGGGGCAGTTGGGGGCGGCCAGGCTGGCAAAGGGGGAAGTAAGAGGCGACCAGGCCGGCGGAGGGGGGTAGGGGGCAGTTAGGAACAACTAGGCCAGCGGGGGGTGTAGTTGGGGGCGACCAGGCCAGAAGGGGGGGAAGTTGGGGGCGGTTAGGCTGGCAGGGGGGACAGTGAGGGGCAACTAGGCCGGTGGGGGGGGAAGTTGGGGGTAACCAGGCCAGCAGTGGAGGTAGTTAGGGGCGACCAGGCCAGCAGGTCACTGTTTTTTATAATTAGTATAATTTAGATAATGGTTTTTTTTTTTTATTAATCCTCACCTGAGGATATTTTTTTCCATTGATTTTTATTTATTTATTTATAATATATTTTTATTGATTTCAGAGAGGAAGGGAGAGGGAGAAGGAGGCAGAAAGATCAATGATGAGAGAATCATTGATTGGCTGCCTCCTGCATGCCCAACACAGGGGATTGAGTCCACAACCTGGGCGTGTGTTCTGGCCAGGAATTGAACCATGACTTCCTGGTTCATAGGTCGACTCTCAACCACTAAGCCACACTGGCTGGGCTCCATTGATTTTTAGACAGTGGGAGGGAGGGAGGGAAGAAAGGAGGGAGGAAGGACGAAAGAGAGAAAAACAGTGATGAGAGAGAGACACATCAATTAATTGCCTCCCGCATGCATCCCGACTGGGACTGGGGATGGAACCTGCAATCCAGATACGTGCTCTTGACTGGGAATTGAACCCATGGCCCCTTGGTGTATGGGCCGATGCTCTAACCACTGAGAAATACCAGCCAGGACAGCTTTAAAAATTTTTTTTATTGATTTTTAGACTGAGAGGAAGGGAGAAGGAGAGAAACATCAAGGTGAGATCCAAACATCCATTAGCTGCTTCCTGCATACCCCCTACTAGGGATTGAGCCAGCAACCTGGGCATATGCCCTGACCAGGAATCAAACTGGCAACCTTTTGGTGAACTGGACAATACCCAACCAACTGACCTAAACAGCTAGAGCTAGATAATGCTTTTTTTTTTTTTTTTTTTTAAGTGAGGTCAAGGTCATGTGTATAGAGACCTTCAAAAATATATTCATTCTGCCCTCGTAGTGTGGCTTAGTTGGTTGGGCATCATCCTGTGTACCGAAAGGTTGCCAGTTCGATTCCCGGTCAGAGAACATGCCCAGGTTGCAGGTTCATTCCCCAGGAAGAGGTGTGCAGGAGGCAGCGGTTGATGTGTCACTATCACATTGATGTTTCTCTCTCTCTCTTCCTTTCGCTCTAAAAATCAATAAATATATATATATAAAAATGCATCCTTTCAAATAATAATGAACACCAACTATACTAGATACAGTGCTAGGGGCCGGGAGTACACAGTAAATGCAAAGCTCCTTGTCATGTGGAGCTTATATGCTGGAGGGTGTAACAGATAAACAGATACAAAATACATAAAATGAAGTGATAAATGCTATGAATAAAAATAAAGGAGGATAAGGGTATAAGACTGATAGTGAAGATAGATTTTAGATGGGGTAAAAAAGGAAATATTTAAATACAAGGATCAAAATCAGAGGGGAGGGGAAAGGCGAATGGTTGGAAGCACAGGTAATAGTTAGGCAATAATACATTCAGTGAATGATAAAAGTTCTCAAGATATTAACTCATTCCCAGGGCTATTTGAGTTGGCATCATGTATCCACTTACAAGTCTCAGTTCTTGAAACATTTCCACCAATAAATATATTTGTACTCATTGCCATAATAACTCAGCTTCTCCATCTCTAGGTTGTCTTCCGAGGAGGTGAAGGGGCTTTGCAGGTTTTGCCTCCCCTGGTTGATGTCATTCCTGAAGCAAGGCTAAACTTAGTGATTTACTACCTTCGTCAAGGTAAGAAAATTTTGTCTTTAAACATACTTATAAACATACTTTAGAACATTTAATCTCTAGTTGATCTATTTGCTTAGCTTTTAAAATCCATAATACTTCTAAAATTTATTTGCAATAAGTTCATAGGACAGAGCAATATTTTTGGTTATTTGTTGTGCCTTTACTCTTTAGCTTCTCTTTCTTCCTCTGTTGCTTCCAACCTTCTCCCTCATTCTATTTTTCTACTTTCCTCTCCTCTGTTCTTTGCCCATTGTATTTCAGTTTTTCCTTCCCATCCCTGGCAGTTCTTTCTTTTTCCTAGGGTTTCCCCATCTATATTTATAAAAGGCTAATATGCAAAGTGTCCCCTCAGTTCAACTGGGAGTTCGATCGCTCGCTATGACATGCGCTGACCACCAGGGGGTGGCATGGAGCGAAGGTAGGCCCCAGCTGGCAGCCGAAAGACCCTGATCAGCCCTGATTGCTGGCCAGGCCTAGGGACCTTACTGTGCACAAATTTTGTGCACCGGGCCTCGAGTATATAATATACAGGAAGCATGTCAAACTCGTGGCCCACAATGAATATTTTTGCGGCCCAGCCAATATAACAGTATGTAAGAAATGTTTTAATAAAAATTTCGTAATTTGCCCTAGCTGGTTTGGCTCAGTGGATAGAGCGTCAGCCTGCAGACTTAAGGGTCCCAGGTTTGATTCTGGTCAAGGGCATGTACCTTGGTTGTGGGCACATCCCCAGTAGGAGGTGTGCAGGAGGCAGCTGATCAATGTTTCTCTCTCATTGATGTTTCTAACTCTCTATCCCTCTCCCTTCCTCTCTGAAAAAAAAAATCAATAAAATATATATATTTTTTTTTATAATTTTTATTTCTTAAAGTATTACAAAGAGTATTACATATGTCTCCTTTTTTTACCCCCCTTGACATTCCCCTGGCCCCTACCCCCCCGGTGTCTTGTGTCCATTGGTTAATCTTATATGCATGCATATAAGTCCTTCGGTTGATCTCTTAATCCCTCCCCCCCAAACCCTCCCCAGGCTTCCCACTGTAGTTTGACAGTCTGTTCAATGTTGCTCTGCCTCTGCATCTACCCCTGTTCATCAGTCTATACTGGTCCCCATTATCTGTCCCAACCTCACCGGGGCCGTCCCTACCTCACTGGGGCCGTTTCAACCTCACCGAGGCCATGCCGACCTCACCGGGGTCGATTCAACCTCACCGGGGCCGTCTCGACCTCACCGGGGCCGCTTCAACCTCACCAGGGCTGTCCTGACCTCACCGGGGCCATTTCAATCTCATCGGGGCCATCCCGACCTCACCGGGACTGTCCCGACCTCACCGGGGCCGTTTCAACCTCACTGGGGCCGTCCCGACCTCACTGGGACTGTCCCAACCTCACCGGGGCCGCTTCAACCTCACCGGGGCCGTCCCAACCTCACCAGGGCCGTTTCAGCCTCACCCGGGCCGTCCCTACTCCGACCCCCGATTGCGTCCCTCCCAGATGCGAGGAGCTGAAATCTGCAGCCTGCTGGGTTGGGCTCTGTATTTGGTGCCTCTGCACATCCTACTCAATCTCAATGCTCTTCTTTCTATGCGAGGAGTTGAAATCTGCAGTTTGTTGGGTTGGGCTCTGTACTTGGTGACTCTGCACATCCTACTCAGTCTCAATGTTCTTTCTTTCCTTCCAGTTGTAGAGCTTCCACTGGGCCAACTTTCCCATGGTTCCGTATGATCGCTGTTTGCCCTATAGTTGTTGGTTTCAATGTTGTTGTGTGAGGCAGCACACACAGGTCTCTTCCTTACCGCCATCTTGGTTCTCCTGGGTCTGCTTCTTGAGTGTGTCTCCCATGGCTGCGAGCAGTTGAAGTCTGCAATTTGTTGGGTTAGGCTGTAAAAGCGCAGGTGGGTCTTTTTGTGCACCTGGCACAGCTTGGATGGGGATGTAAATTGATTAGGGCTGGGTCTCAGGGAGTCGCATGGCGGAGCAAATAACACTGGCTGCGTCTCTGCGGCCCCTCACCTCTCTGGGACACTGGGGCTTCGCGTCCCCCAGTGCCGGCGAGCAGCTGTGCGACAGAGCCTCCCTCGCTTTCTGATGGCTGCAAGGCCGTACCGCCTCTCCCCGTAGGGTCTGGTGCCTCATGATCCCGCCCGAACCAGCTCAGTGGATTTGAGTTTGCAAAAGCATAGACATTTCCTCTTGTGCCTCTGGCACAGCTTGGATGGGGATGTAAATTGAGTAGGGCAGGGTCTCAGGGAGTCGCCAGCTCGGAGCAGATAGCACTGGTGGCGTCTCCGCGCCCCTCGCCTCTCCGGGACACCAGGACTTCGCGTCCCCCAGTGCCGGCGAGCAGCCGTGCGTCAGAGCTTCCCTCGCTTTCCTCTCCCCGTGGGATCTGGGGCCTCAGAGACCCACCCCGAGCAAGCCCACCGCTTCCGATTGAATGAAAACCGTGAATCCAGTTGCAGCCCGCCGGGCTTGTGACTGCGTACCTCTGTTTTTGGCGCCTCCGTAGCTCCCACTCAGTCTCACTGCGCTTCTTTCTTTTCTTCCAGTTGTAGATCTCCCACTGGGCCAACTTCCCCATGGTTCTGATTGGTGGTTGTTTGCCTCATAGTTGGTAGTTTCAATGATGCTGTGAGAGAGCGGCACGCACAGGTCCACTCCCTACGCCGCCATCTTGGTTTTCGAATAAAATATATTTTTTAAAAAATTCCGTAATTTAAAAGGCAGAGAGAAACCAAGATGGCGGCATAGGTTAACGCCGGAGACTGCTGCCTCAAACAACCAATTCAAGGGTACACATAAAAGACGGAACGAACATCATCCAGAACCACAGGAAGGCTGGCTGAGTGGAAATTCTACAACTAGGAGGAAAGAGAATATCATACCCAGACTCAGAGGAGGCGCAGTGCTGAAGTGAAATACTCAGGTGCGGAGTGCACGCGCGGAACGGGCTGGCGGCGGAGGGCGCGGTTGTTGTTTTCAATCGGGAGGGAGTTTCAGACTCTGAGCTCCAGATCCGGGCGAGTCTCTAGGGACCCAGACTCAAACGGGAGAAGCGGGACTGTCTGGCTTTGGTCGGAACTCGAAGGCAGCATTCTCTCCGAGGTTTGCAGCGGCTGCTGGGACTCTGTGAGGCAGAGGACCTAGGGACGGAACTGAGAGCAGCCATAACTGCTCGCTCGGCCTGCCCTGTTTGATCCAGTGCGACCCGCCCCGCCCAAGCCCTGCACAGAGCCATTTGCCAGATAGCCTCAGGCAAACACTAGATTAGCACCGCCCTAGAGATCCAGCACAGAAGCTCTCCCACTGCAGACACAGCGGACTCTCATAGCCAGTTGGCCTGGAGGTCAAATCCCCCCAGTATTAACTACAACAATCAAGGCTTAACTACAACAAGATGGTGCACAAAGACCACTAGGGGGTGCACCAAGAAAGCATTAAAAAAAAATGCGGAGACAAAGAAACAGGACAAAATTGTCAATGGAAGATATAGAGTTCAGAACCACACTTTTAAGGTCTCTCAAGAACTGTCTAGAAGCTGCTGATAAACTTAATGAGATCTACAAGAAATCTAATGAGACCCTCGATGTTATGATAAAGAACCAACTAGAAATTAAGCATACACTGACTGAAATAAAGAATACTATACAGACTCCCAACAGCAGACCAGAGGAGCGCAAGAATCAAGTCAAAGATTTGAAATGCGAAGAAGCAAAAAACACCCAACTGGAAAAGCAAAATGAAAAAAGAATTCGAAAATACGAAGATAGTGTAAGGAGCCTCTGGGACAGCTTCAAGCGTACCAACATCAGAATTATAGGGGTGCCAGAAGATGAGAGAGAGCAAGATGTTGAAAACCTATTTGAAGAAATAATGACAGAAAACTTCCCCCACCTGGTGAAAGAAATAGACTTACAGGTCCAGGAAGCGCAGAGAACCCCAAACAAAAGGAATCCAAAGAGGACCACACCAAGACACATCATAATTAAAATGCCAAGATCAAAAGACAAAGAGAAAATCCTAAAAGCAGCAAGAGAAAGAAACTCAGTTACCTACAAGGGAATACCCATACGACTGTCAGCTGATTTCTCAACAGAAACTTTGCAGGCCAGAAGGGAATGGCAAGAAATATTCAAAGTGATGAGTACCAAGAACCTACAACCAAGATTACTTTATCCAGCAAAGCTATCATTCAGAACTGAAGGTCAGATAAAGAGCTTCACAGATAAGGAAAAGCTAAAGGAATTCATCACCACCAAGCCAGTATTATATGAAATGCTGAAAGGTATCCTTTAAGAAGAGGAAGAAGAAGAAAAAGGTAAAGATACAAATTATGAACAACAAACATGCATCTATCAACAAGTGAATCTAAGAATCAAGTGAACAAATAATCTGGTGATCATAATAGAATCAGGGACATAGAAAGGGAATGGACTGACTATTCTTGGGGGGGAAAAGGGTGTGGGAGATGCGGGAAGAGACTGGACAAAAATCGTGCACCTATGGATGAGGACAGTGGGTGGGGAGTGAGGGCGGAGGGTGGGGCGGGAACTGGGAGGAGGGGAGTTATGGGGGGGAAAATGAGGAACAAATGTAATAATCTGAACAATAAAGATTTAATTAAAAAAAAAAGACTAAAGGCAAAATAAACTGTACATAAACACTGAAAAAAAATTTCGTAATTTAATTTTTACAATATCCTGTTATACGTAATTATTAATAATGAACTACAATGTTCGCTAATGACTGATTCTATGATCGTGTTGCATTCATTTCTCTTACTCACCTTACGTGCAGGCGCACCATTTTTCTCCACTGATATTAGCAGCGAATATTTTAGCAGCCAATTGCCATGTCATTAGTCTTGTACTGACTTGTTTGGTGTGTGCAACAGGAAATATTTGCATTACACTTATTAATTTGTGCAGTTATAGTGTCCGGTAAGTTAATGTTCAAGAAAAAATGTTAATTTTTATTAAAATGTTCTTTCATTTTATGTTAATGATTGCTCATTTGTTTCAGCCCTTTGTATTGAGCATATCTCTATCGAAATAAACCTAGGTTTCTTTTCTTTGTTTTGTTTTTTTTTAATACCCTTGACCAGAATCGTAAACCTATGTTTCTATGAAAATTGAAGCTTTTGTTTTTTTGTGGCCCACATAAACTTAAACCTTGTTTATTTGGCCCGTGTTAGCCTTTGAGTTTGACATGCTTGATGTACATCCACATCTTCTTAAGCATTTTTTATCATGAACTATTTTGTATTTGCTGTAATTGTTTTAAGTGCAGGGCAATAGTGGCCACGCACTGGTGGTGGCACTCCATCATGGACTTCAGACTAACAGTGTGGGACTTCTTAGATGCATGGGAGAAACCAACCAGACAACATAATCCTCACTGAGGAAAATGCTAAGTGTTGATTAAAATAAAAACATGAACTTGCAAACAGTTCTATGTGATATGTAAGCACAAAGAAACATACTTTGTGATAAGAATTAAAGAAACATCTGCCCTAGCTGGTTTGGTTCAGTGGATAGAGCATTTGCCCTTGAACTGAAGGGTCCGGGTTCAATTCTTTTTTTTTTTTTTTTTAATATATTTTATTGATTTTTTACAGAGAGGAAGGAGAGAGATAGAGAGTTAGAAACATCGATGACAGAGAAACATCGATCAGCTGCCTCCTGCACATCTCCAACTGGGGATATGCCCGCAACCCAGGTACATGCCCTTGACCGGAATCGAACCTGGGACCTTTCAGTCCGCAGGCCGACGCTCTATCCACTGAGCCAAACCGGTTTCGGCCCGGGTTCAATTCTTGTCAAGGACAGGGACCTCAGTTGCAGGCTTGATCCCTGGCCTTGGTTGGGCGCCTGTGGAAGGCAACCAATAGATGTGTCTCTCTCACATCAATGCTTTTCTCTCTCTGTTTCTCCCCTTTCCTCCCTTCCACTCTCTCTAAAAATAAATGGAAAAATATCCTCAGATGAGGATTAACAAAAATAAAACAAAAAAAGAAGCACCTTATATATTTCATAAATTAATCTTTTAATTGTCAATTTTTATTATAAAAATTTTCAGACATAAATAAAAGTAGTATGGTCACCCACATAATCATCCCAGATTCAATGGTTTTTAAGATATTAACAGTCTTTTTTCATCTGTCCTCCCTCTTTTTTTTTTTTTTTTAAATATATTTTATTGATTTTTTACAGAGAGGAAGGGAGAGAGATAGAGAGTTAGAAACATCGATGAGAGAGAAACATCGATCAGCTGCCTCCTGCACATCTCCCACCGGGGATATGCCCGCAACCCAGGTACATGCCCCTGACCGGAATCGAACCCGGGACCTTTCAGTCCGCAGGCCGACGCTCTATCCACTGAGCCAAACCGGTTTCGGCTGTCCTCCCTCTTTTTTTGTTGTTGCTGAGATGTTGGAAAGCAAATCACAGACTTCATGTCATTTCCTACATGCTTAATACAGGGGTCAGCAAAAGTAGGTTTATAGTTGTGAGTACACGAAACAGAGTTTATTCTTGTTTCATTATTTTATTTAATGATTATATTTATTTATATTATTTGTCTTATTATTGTTGTTATTGTTTCTTATCCTTACTTAGGATTTATCTTTTAGGTAATGATGATTGATAATTTAACCTACTTTTGCTCACCTCTGTATATATCTTTTTTATCGTTGTTGAAACATTTAAAAAAATGGTTGTTTTTCTTAGATAACTAGTGTCATTGGTATGTAACACCCAATCTATATTTTTTGCTTGAACATTTTTTAAGTGCTACATGGCTTAATATGGGTTTCCTAAGGATATTTGGTTATCTTTAGGATAACTGTTCAACATTGAACTTGACAGAGGCTTAAAGGACAGATAAAATCCTATCTAATAAAAGAGAAACATGGTAATTAGCATACGACCACTACCCTTCCCATTGGCTAATCAGGGCAATATGCAAATTAACTGCCAGCCAAGATGGTGGCCGGCAGCTAGGCAGCTTGAAACTAACATGAGGCTTGCTTGCTTCAGTGACGGAGGAAACCAACGTTCCCCACCTGCCACTGCAGGCCTCTGAGCTGCAACTCTAAGCAACTATGTAACAAATATAGAAGCTAAATAAAACCCCAGAAACCTGCTTTAGTCTGCCGGGCTTCAGCCAGCAGGATCACAACATTGTAAGCAAAGGCCAGAAACCTACTTTCAGCAGCGTAGGCCTAAGAGCTGGAGCCAAGCCTCAAAGCTAAAGCTGGCCCAGAATAAAAAAAAAAAAAAAAATGAAAAAAAGGAGCAGTTGGGAGCTTCAGTCACCCCCAGCCTGAAAACAGCCCTCAGCCCCTCACCCAGACTGGCCAGGCACCCCAGTGGGGACCCCCACCCTGAAGGGTGTGTGACCAGCTGCAAACAGCCATCATCCCCTCACCCAGGCTGGCCAGGCAACCCAGTGGGGACCCCCACCCTGATCCAGGACACCTTTCAGGGCAAACCAGCCGGCACCCACCCGTGCACCAGGCCTCTACCCTATATAGTAAAAGGGTAATATGCCTCCCGGCACCGGGATCAGCGTGATGGGGGCAGTGCCCAAACCCCCTGATCGCCCTGCGGCTCTGTGTGTGACAGGGGGACAACCTCCCTATCCACCCTGCTCTGTTCGTGACAGGGGAAGGCACCCCAACCCCCTGATCGGCCCTGCTCTGTGCCTGATAGGGGGGAGCTCCCCAACCCCCAGATCACCCTGCAGCTCTGTGTGTAACGGTGCGGCGCCCCAACCCCCCCGCCCCATGGGCCCTGCTCTGTGTGTGACGGGGTAGAGCAGGGGTGGACAAACTTTTTGACTCGAGGGCCACAATAGGTTCTTAAACTGGACCGGAGGGCCAGGGCCGGAACAAAAGCATGGATGGAGTGTTTGTGTGAACTAATATAAATTCAAAGTAAACATCATTACATAAAAGGGTACGGTCTTTTTTTTTTTTAGTTTTATTCATTTCAAACGGGCTGGATCCGGCCCGCGGGCCATAGTTTGCCCACTGCTGGGGTAGAGCCATAACCTCCCCATTGGCCCTGCCCTGAGTGTGAGAGTGGCGGCACCCCAACCCCCTGATTGGCCCTGCTCTGTGGGTGATAGAGGGCGGCGCCCCAGCCCCGATTTTCCCTGCTCTGTGCGTGACGAGGGTGGCGCCACAACCTCCCCATTGACCCTGCCTTGAGTGTGACAGGGGACGGTGCCTCAACCCCCCCAATCGGCCCTACCCTGAGCGTGACTGAGGGTAGCATCACAACCTCCCGATCACCCTGCTCTGTGCATGACAGGGGGTGGTGCCCCAACTCCCCAATCAGCCCTGCTCTGAGCCCGACCAGGGGCTGCACCTAGGGATTGGGCCTGCCCTCTGCCACCCGGGAGCAGGCCTAAGCCAGCAGGTCGTTATCTCCCGAGGGGTACCAGACTGCGAGAGGGCACAGGCCGGGCTGAGGGACGCCCCCCCTCCCCCCCGAGTGCACAAATTTTTGTGCACCGGGCCTCTAGTATATCATAATTCTCACGAATGTTTGAGTACTGAAGGATCTTACTTTTTGGTGACTGTTTCAGAAGAGTTTGCTGAAATATGGACTAGTATAGCTACTTATTTTTTTGTATTTCAGATGATGTACAAGAAGCTTATAACTTAATCAAGGATCTGGAACCTGCTACTCCTCAGGTAATTAAGAACGTGTTATATTTTTACTAACCAAGTTCTGTTTAAAATGGAACTTTGGAACAATAGCTGGAAGGCATATTAAAGAAGATTACTGCTTATAGAATCCCAGGAAAGTCCACGTATTGATCTAGGAATGTTTTGTGAGACTATTGACATAAGAATGAATGTTCTGGGGTTTTGGGTATTTTTAAACTCCCTTATATGTGGTCATTTCCCCCAAAGAGTTGAGGTTTAAAAATACTGGAATCTAGAATTCTGATGAAAGCAACGACTTACTGGTATATCGTTAGTAAATTGCCTGCAACTTGTCTCCGCCCATCACCTGATGATTAGCTCCTTGTGTCAGCATTGTATCTCCAATGCTATGTACACTAAGCACACAGTAGTCATCCTACTTATGGAATGAAAAACCCCATGAAGTCTAAACAGACATATTTCTCAAATGCATTAAAAGCTTTAGCATCTTCTGTATGATTCTTTTTACTAGTATGAGGCTTCTTAAGAAAAGGGAGAGCACCCATATAAAAACTGATAAAGCTGCTAAGGAGGATGTCTGTTAAAGAATAGAACCAAGTCTGACAAGGATATAGGTGAGGCCCTAGGACTCCAAAAGAGAATGCTTTACAGATGGAAATTAGAGGACACTTTAAAAAAAAAAGAAAGACACTAGCAAAGGAAAGTTACTATAGCATTGAAAAGGGGAAATAATATATATGCAATGGTCACAGAGAATGGCAGTGGCTGACAAGGTGATACAAATTATTATGTAAACATTTTTACTGTTAATTTGTTTCCATTATATTGAAATGAAATAAAACTTAATTCCTAGAAGTTCCCACTGAGTTATTTCTGCTTAAGATTGAGAATTTACAGGAAAAGAACTGGGAGAAACTAAGATGGCGGCATAGGTAAACACCGGGAAATTGCCGCCTCACACAACAATTGAAAATTACCGCAAAGGACAGAGCAAACATCATCCAGAACAACAGGAAGGCTGGCTGAGTGTAAATTCTACAACTAGAAGGAAAGAAAAGCACGCTGAGAGCCAGAGGAGCTGCAGAGGTGAAGTGCAGAGGTACAAGTGCAGAGGTACGGCCGGCTCGCACGCGCGCGCGCGCTCACGCGCGGAAAGGGGGAGGCACCTGAGGACGCGGCTGTCTTTTTGAATCACCAGCTCCCGACTGCTCTGAACTCCGGTTCCGGGAAGTCTCTGGGGACCCAGGACTCATACGGGGAGAAGCTGGTCTGTCCGGCAGCGGGCGAACTTGAAGGCGGCTTTCCCTCAGAGGTGCTTGCAGCAATTAGCAGGTCACTGAGACCCGCGACTCCGGGCGGAGAATCAGCCATAGCTCCTTGATCCGCCCTTTGATTCCCTGAGACCCCGCCCCACCCAGGCTGCGGCAGAGGCTTTTGCATGTGAATGTACCTAACTGCAGCCGAGCCAGGCAGACCCGGAACTTCCAAGAGAAGGCCCAAGGCCCCGGAGCGGCTTGCATTGCTTCACAGCTGAGCCTCTTCGTGGCTCCTGCTGTGTGGCCTCAGGCAGAGGCTGAATTAGCACCTCCTTAGATCCAGGAGCCACTGTACCCAGTGGTCAGAGGGGGACCATCCAGATTGCAACTCCTCAGATCCATAAGGGACACACTCAGGGAGCAGACTCAGTGAGCACCAAAGCCCCACTGAAGCAAGTCTTGCCCCAGAAGGGTGTCTTCAGCACAGAAGTTCTCCCACTTTAGACACAGCTGATTCTCACAGCCAATTGGCCTGGAGGTCAATTCCTCCCAGTGATCCTACAACAACCAAGGCACCAAGAGTGCACCAAGAGTGTCCACCCCAGGTAACTGGGGAGGCTGAGCTACTGGGCCCTACAGGACACCTGGCGCGCAGGGCCACTCTATCAACACAGGGAAGCTGCCAAATGCGGAGACAAAGAAACAGGTCACAAATGGCAGAAATGGAGGAAAACAAACGATTGGATATAGAGTTCAAGGCCACGTTTATAAGGTTTTTCAAGAATTTTATGGAAACCGCCGATAAATTTAATGAATCCCTCAATAAGTATAGTGAGACCATGGAGGACATGAAAAAGGACCAACTAGAAATTAAGCATACACTGACTGAAATAAAGAATAATTTACAGAGATCCAGTAGCAGACAAGAGGATCCCAAGAATCAAGTCAAAGATTTGAAATACAAAGAAACAAAAAATACCCAACCAAAAAAGAAAAAAGAAAAGAGATTCCAAAAATATGAAGATAGTGTAAGGAACCTCTGGGACAACTTCAAGCGTACCAACATCAGAATTATAGGGGTACCAGAAGGAGAGAGAGGGCAAGATATTGAAAACCTTTTTGAAGAAATAATGACAGAAAACTTCCCCTACCTGGTGAAAGAAATGGACTTACAAGCCCAGGAAGCGCAGAGAACCCCAAACAAAAGGAATCCAAAGAGGACCACACCAAGACACATCATAATTAAAATGCCAAGAGCAAAAGATAAAGAGAGAATCTTAAAAGCAGCAAGAGAAAGAAACTCAGTTACCTACAAGGGAGTACCCATACGACTGTCAGCTGATTTCTCAACAGAAACCATGCAGGCCAGAAGAGAGTGGCAAGAAATATTTAAAGTGATGAATAGCAAGAACCTGCAACCAAGATTACTTTATCCAGCAAAGCTGTCATTCAGAATAGAAGGTCAGATAAAGAGCTTCACGGATAAGAAAAAGCTAAAGGAGTTCATCACCACCAAACCAGCATTATATGAAATGCTGAAAGGTATTCTTTAAGAAGAGGAAGAAGAAAAAGGAACTCTTACCATTTGCCACAGCATGGATGGAACTGGAGAGCGGATAAATACCACATGATCTCACTCATTTGGGGAATATAATGAACAACATAAACTGATGAACAAGGACTGATCCAGAGACGGAGAGGCATTGATTGGACTGTCGGGACTTGGAGGGAAGGTAGGGGAGGGTGGGGGTAAGGGGGAAAGATCAACCAAAGGACTTATATGCAAGCATATAGGCCTAATCAATGGACATGGACAACGGGGGGGTGAAGGCATGAGCGGGGGGTGGGGTGGGGGGGTAGAGGGTAACATGGGGACAAGGACACATATGTAATATCTTAATCAATAAAAAATATATTAAAAAAAAAAGATTGAGAATTTACAAATATGGTGAGTTCTGTTATATGGACACTTGCCTGCTGGAACCAAATGAAAATCTCTTAATTCTTTCATTCAGGCCAGGGATAGAACAGAGAAAAGAGACCCTGGGTAACTTTTGATAATATATGTGAAGTACTGAGTTGTTGCAAATAATTAACCTGAAAGATATCTCATAGCTCCACATTCCTTTGAAATCAATCAGTGTTATTGCATGTTTCCAGGAGTATATCCTCAAAGGAGTGGTCAATGCAGCCCTTGGCCAGGAAATGGGATCGGTGAGTATGACATCACTGGTAATCTGCAGTTTGCCAAGTTATAGTGTATGGGAAAAAACAAAACAAATGTCAATCTTCAACCAGCAGCAAGCTTACAAATAGGCTCTTCTGCAGTCCTCATTTCTCCATACCCCCCAATCAGGTCTCATTGTAAAAAGAATTCTGTTGAAGACAAAAAAAAAAAGAAAAAAGTCTTTAATGCTAAGAATTGTTGCTTTGTTTAAAAAGAGCCCAATTTTTAAACAGTGTATATATCTAATCATTGCACAGCTTCATTCTTATTTTCAGTGACTTTTTTTTCAACATTGTACAGCTCTGAGCTATAATTTTGGCATCTGTAAAATGGGAATAATTGTTTCTATTGGAATGCTTTTTTTTTTATTTTTTTTATTTTTTTAAAGAATTTTTTTTTTTTATTGCTTAAAGTATTACAAAGGGTATTACATATGTGTCCATTTTATCCCCCCGCCCTAGACAGTCCCCTAGCCTCCCCTATCCCCCAATGTCTTATGTCCACTGGTTATGCTTCTATGCATGCATACAAGTCCTTTAGTTGATCTCTTACCCCCCTACCTCCTGCCCCGCAACCCTCCCCGGCCTTCCTGCTGCAGTTTGACAATCTGTTTGAGGCAGCTCTGCCTCTGTATCTATTATTGTTCAAAAGTTTATAATGGTCTCTATTATCCATGAATGAGTGAGATCATGTGGTATTTTTCCTTCATTGACTGGCTTATTTCACTTAGCATAATGCTCTCCAGTTCCATCCATGACGTTGCAAATGGTAAGAGTTCCTTCCTTTTTAGAGCAGCATAGTATTCCATCGTGTAGATGTACCACAGTTTTCTAATCCATTCATCTACTGATGGGCACTTAGGCTGTTTCCAGATCTTAGCTATGGTGAATTGTGCTGCTATGAACATAGGGGTGCATATATCCTTTCTGATTGGTGTTTCTGGTTTCTTGGGATATATTCCTAGAAGTGGGATCACAGGGTCAAATGGGAGTTCCATTTTCAGTTTTTTAAGGAAACTCCATACTGTCTTCCATAGTGGCTGCACCAGTCTGTGGAATGCTTTTTATAAATACAAAAACTGTGTCTAAAATTAAGCTCTTATTAATCTAAATATTATTCACCTAACATTCTAAAAAGAATAAGAATTATTTTTTAGAATTCTAATATTCTAAATAATAATATTAAGTTCTTTTTGGAACAAAGTGAGATATAAATAAATCTTATCTCCAGCTCATTTCACAGAGCCTCATTTAACAGATAGGCAATTAAGTTATTGAATATATGAATGAGTTTGTTTAATAAATACTCTTTGTTATGACCATAGTTATAATTACAAGTTCTAATATATGGTAAAAGAGTAATAAATATTTAAGTGAATGAATGAGTACATGAATGAGTTCATTTAGTGAAGGTACTTTTAGGATAGAACTTTGGGATGGATTTTTTTTTTCTTGTTTTCTATCTGTCCCAGAGTAGGTTTTTGGTTTTTTTTTAATCCTCACTCGAGGATATATTTCTATTGATTTTTAGAGAGAGTGGGAGGGGGAGAAACAGAGAGAAACATCAATGTGAGAGAGACACATCAATTGGTTGCCTCCTGCACGCACCCCGACTAGGGCCCGGGTCAAGAGGAGCCTGCAACCGTGCCCTTGACCAGAATCAAACCTGGGACCTTTCAGTCTGCAGGCCGACACTCTATCCACTGAGCCAAACCAGCTAGGGCTAGAGTAGGTGTTAATTCAGTTTCAGGTTATCATTTTCTAGTTGTGTGCTAATCAGAATTGGTTTTGTTTGGGAGGATTTAAAACAAGAGTATGTGTTAAATCCTGATAAGTACGTTAAAACCATAAAGTATAATATAAATAAAATATTTTCATTTTATTCCTCTATAGAAGCTCTGCTTTGTTTTTCAGAGGGATCATATGAAAATTGCCCAGCAGTTCTTCCAGTTGGTGGGAGGATCAGCTAGTGAATGTGGTATGTCTGAAATATGTACTTATGAACATGATCCATAATTTGAGCTGGTTGTATACTGCCTGGTCAAGTTTGAGTCTTTGGCAAGCATGTCAAACTCATAGTTGGCGGGCCCCATGCCTCGTTTAAATAAATAAAATATTATTCATCTAACATTCTAAAAAGAATAAGAATAAGTGCTACATCTGTTAAGTTTCCCATTATAAGGTGGGAAGTCAGACACAGGAGAGAATATTGGAATTAGCTCTTTTCAGCATGTCAGCTGGAGTGGGATGAGAGAATTTAGAAATAGAGAAGAATAAATATATTCTTTAGTTTATGAGGGTTTTTTTAAATTGATTTTATTTTATTTTATTTTATTTTTACAGAGAGGAAGGGAGAGGGATAGAGAGTTAGAAATATCATTGAGAGAGAAACATCGATCAGCTGCCTTCTGCACACCCCCTACTGGGGATGTGCCCGCAACCACGGTACATGCCCTTGACCGGAATTGAACCTGGGACCTTTGAGTCTGCAGGCCGCCACTCTATCCACTGAGCCAAACTGATTAGGGCTAGTTTATGAGTTTTTTATTCTGTTTTTGTTTTTTTTTAAATTTGAAATGGTAACTTTAATTGATTTTTCAAGAGCTCTTATATTTTTTTCCCAGTGGGTCATTTGACTTTTAACTTTTCCTATCATATTTTTTCTTATATTAAACTATTTAAACCTTATTTAATTAAGTTCATCCTCTCCATAATGAATTCTAACATGGGTATCAAGTTTAGACAGTGCTTTGACCCCTGCAGTTATATAATATTCATCCATATTTCCCACAGTTTGTTTTGTGGCTTTGTTTCTGTTCTTAAAGTATTGATTTCATCAGTCAAGATTCAGTGTAAGACTTGAGGAAGAGCTATAAAAAGGGCCCATAACCAGTGTGAACTGGTATGGCTGTCCATACCAATTGTCTATGGCCAGCATCTATTCTGATGATGTGTTCATGCTGAACTGGTTGTGAAATATTTTTATCACCCCTGGATTTTTTTCCAAATATTTCACCAAAACCATTTATCAAATAATATTTCCTTTCCCCATTTCACTCATTCATACTACAAAAATTTATTGAGGTGTTGGGGATATAGCAGTAAACAAAACTAAAATCCCCCTTCTTTTGTGGAACATACGGTCTAGTGTGACAGACTAGAAACATAAAAAATAAATAGATTATATAGTATATATGACTATGATGAGTTGCTATGGGGAAAATTGAGCAGAAAGAGAATAAGGAGGATTGGGAGTGCCAATGGCAAGTGTGGAGGCGACACTAACCGTCTGCTGCCTCAGATAGGAATATGATATCAGACAGACGGTTGGGTCAGGATCAGGATCAGGTGGTTCCACGGCAAATTTATTTTCCATTTGAGATCGAAAGTGCTACGTTGCCTGGCCGGTGTGGCTCAGTGGTTGAGCATCAACCTATGAACCAGGAGGTCACAGTTCGATTCCTGGTCAAGGCACATTCCCTGGGTGGTGGGCTCGATCCCCAGTGGGGGCGTGCAGGAGGCAGCCAGTCAATGATTCTCTCTCATTGATGTTATATCTCTCTCTCCCTCTCCATTCCTCTCTGAAATCAGTAAAAATATATATTTTTAAAAAGGGCTGGGTTGTCTTAGATGAGTAATGATGGAGACCGCGCCACATTAGTTGTATGTGCAGGTGTCAGAGTTGGGCAAGAAAATAAAAAGTGATCTGGAGAATACTGTAGCCTGCAGGGCATGTGTTCATTTTGAACTCAGAGCTAACATGGAGAGAAATTATTGGTCACTCTGAAGTACTGTGATCTCCATTATGCTGAGGTTTTGTTCACTAAACAGAAGCTATAACTTCAGAATCTAGAAAGCTGTCTGCTAATACATTCCTATCTCTAAATTATAAATAACTGAAATTTCTGCTAAAGATGCCTTTTAGTTTCTTGAGTAGACATGGTGTCTGTTCCCATTCCATCTCAGATACAATACCAGGGAGACAGTGCATGGCCTCCTGTTTCTTCCTGCTCAAGCAATTTGATGATGTCCTGATTTACCTCAACTCATTTAAGGTCAGTATAGAATTTTCTAGATGACTTGGTATACAAAATACTATATATAATATGTCGGAGAGAAGATATTCTTAGAGATGGCCTTTTTATTATGGTGGCATCAGCTAATTCCTTACGCTTATTTTTGTGTTTATCTTGTATAACATGTTTTTCTATTTTATATGGTAACTAGAGGCCCGGTGCACAAAAATTTGTGCACTCGGTGGGGAAGGGGGGCGTCCCTCAGCCCGGCCTGTGCCCTCTCGCAGTCTGGGACCCCTCAGGAGATAACAACCTGCTGGCTTAGACCTGCTCCTGGGTGGCAGAGGGCAGTCCTAATCCCTAGGTGCAGCCCCTGGTCGGGCTCAGAGCAGGGCTGATTGGGGAGTTGGGGCACCGCCCCCTGTCATGCATAGAGCAGGGCCAATCAGGGGGTTGGGGCGCTGCCCCCTGTCACGCACAGAGCAGGGCCTATCAAGGGGGTGGGGCTCTGTACCCTGTCACGCACAGAGCAGGGTCAATCAGGGGGTTGGGGAGCTCCCCCCTGTCACGCACAGAGCAGGGCCCATCAGGGGGTTGGGGAGCTCCCCCCTGTCACGCACAGAGCAGGGCCCATCAAGGGGGTGGGGCTCCGTACCCTGTCACGCACAGAGCAGGGTCAATCAGGGGGTTGGGGAGCTCCCCCCTGTCACGCACAGAGCAGGGCCCATCAGGGGGTTGGGGAGCTCCCCCCTGTCACGCACAGAGCAGGGCCCATCAAGGGGGTGGGGCTCCGTAACCTGTCACGCACAGAGTAGGGCCGATAGGGGAGTTGGGGCACCGCCCCCTGTCACACACAGAGCAGGGCGGATCAGGGGGTTGGGGCGCCACCCTCTATCACCCACAGAGCAGGGCCGATCAGGGGGTTGGGGCGCCGCCACTGTCACAGTCAGGGCAGGGCTGATGGGGAGGTTATGGTTCTACCCCGTCACACACAGAGCAGGGCCCATGGGGTGGGGGGGTTGGGGCACTGCACCCTGTCACACACAGAGCCGCAGGGCGATCAGGGGATTGGGGAGCTCCCCCCTATCAGGCACAGAGCAGGGCTGATCAGGGGGTTGGGGCACCTTCCCGTCACGAACAGAGCAGGGCGGATAGGGAGGTTGTGGCCCCGCCCCCTGTCACATACAGAGCCGCAGGGCGATCAGGGGGTTTGGGCGCTGCCCCCTGTCACGCTGATCCCAGTGCCAGGAAGCCTCTTGGCTCCGCTGATCCCGGTGCTGGGAGGCATATTACCCTTTTACTATATAGGGTAGAGGCCTGGTACAAGGGTGGGGGCCGGCTGGTTTGCCCTGAAGGGTGTCCTGGATCAGGGTAGGGGTCCCCACTGGGGTGCCTGGGTGAGGGGATGATGGCTGTTTGCAGCTGGTCACACACCCTTCAGGGTGGGGGTCCCCACTGGGGTGCCTGGCCAGTCTGGGTGAGGGGCTGAGGGCCGTTTTCAGGCTGACTGAAGCTCCCAACTGCTCCTTTTTTTCTTCTTTTTTTTATTCTGGGCCAGCTTTAGCTCTGGCTCCAGCTCTGAGGCTTCTGCTGCTGAAAGAAGGTATCTGGTTTGTTTCGGTTCTATAGTTAAAACACTGTATAACTCCAGCTCTAAGATCCCGGCCTTGGCCTCGCTGAAAGCAGGTTTCTGGGATTTTGTTTAGCTTCTATATTCGTTACAATGTTTCTTAAACTGCAGGCTCAGAGGCCGGCAAAGCAGGCGGGGAGCGCTGGTTTCCTCCGTCACTGAAGCAAGCAAGCCTCATGTTAGTTTCAAGCTGCCTGGCTGCCGGCCACCATCTTGGCTGGCAGTTAATTTGCATATCTCGCTGATTAGCCAATGGGAAGGGTAGCGGTCGTACGCCAATTACCATGTTTCTCTTTTATTAGATAGGATGCTCAATGTGACCTGTTCTTGGGATGTTTTTCAGAGTTACTTCTATAATGATGACATCTTTAACTTTAATTATGCACAAGCCAAAGCTGCAACAGGCAATACCAGTGAGGGTGAAGAGGTGGGTACCTGCTTTGGAAGGCATTCGAATGATTCTGTCTAAAAACATTGTTGTCTTTTTCTCACTGAAATAAAATGTTCAAGGGTAAAGGACTAGTGAAAGTTTCTTTTTTTCTTAGGTCACATTAGAAAGTACAATGTGAATAGGTATATGGATTTTATGACCACATAAATGTTTTCCTTTTCTGATAAATTTTATAAAAGCATAATATAAATTGAGAAAGATATATAAATCAAAGCATATATCTAGATGGATTTTTCAAATAATTAGAACCCAAATCATGAAACAGAATATTATCATAATCCTAGAAACCTCCTCATCCCCTCTTTGAATCAATCTCTTTACTATAAGGCTAACAATGATCTTGCTTCTAACTTCATAGAGTGATTTGTTTAAATTATTCAAAATAATTCAGTTGAATTATTCAATTGAATTTTGTTAGTCAACAAATTATTCAACTAATTTCCATTATGATTCCTCTTTTGACTGAGTTATTTTAAAATGTTTTATGATTTTCAAGCATGCATTATCCTTCTCAGGTTTTAAATTTTGATTTCTAACTTAATCGTATTGTGGTCACAGAATGTGGTCTGTGTAACACCAACCCTTTAAAATTGCCCAGTAGCATGATCATGCATTCTTGAAAATAATATGTATTGTACAGTTGTTAATTATTTTGTTCAAGTCTTTTATATCCTTACCAACCTTTTGTCAGCTTGTGATATGAATACCAGAGTAGTATGTTAAAATCACCACAATTTTGTCCTTCACTATCTTAGCAGCCTGTTTAGAATTTGGTCATCTATTAGGCTGTGTTAAGCATTAATGAAAGATAAGCAGATATGAATGTTTTTACTGCAAAACCATCTTCATGTTTATTCCCTTTCTTTCCTCTTCTTGCAGGTTTTCCTTTTAATACAAAGTGAGAAGTTAAAAAATGATTACATTTACCTCAGTTGGTTAGCTCGATGCTGTGAGTCTTTTTTTTTACTGTAATTTTTTATTTTTCAATTACAGTTGACATACAATATTGTATTAGTTTCAGGTGTATACCCAAGTGATTAGACATTATATAACTTACTAAGTTATCACCCTGATAAATCTAGTACCTATCTGATACCATGTGTAGTTATTACAATATTATTGACTGTATTCCCTATGCTGCACTTTATATCCCCATGATCATACTGTGAGTCTTTTTTTTTTAAAGATATATTTTTATTGATTTCAGAGAGGAAGGGAGAGAGAAAGAGTAAAAGCATCAGTGATGAGAAGAATTCACTGATGGGCTGCCTCCTGCACGCCTCACACTGGGGATCGAGCCTGCAACCTGGGCACGTGCCCTGACCAGGAGTCGGATCTGTGACCTCCTGGTTCACAGGTCTACGCTCAACCACTCAAGTCACACCAGCTGGGCTGGGAGGCTTCTTTCGAATGTTACTGAAGAATTATCTTTTTGTTCCCCGCTGCAAAATCCTCTGGCAGGAAATTACACTGAGCATTTTCTAATTTTGTTTTGTGCTATAAAACAAGTGGACACCGAAACTGTGTCGTTAGTGAGCCTCAGTTTACAGTGTTATTAGTGCTGGTCCGTTAGGGTGGCCATGCACATATACGATTCTACCGTGTGATTACGTCTGCCATGTAGCACTGCCCTAGCATGTCCAGTCCTGAAAGATGGCAGGTTCTTCCTGTTAAAGTTTCCAGTTTACAGTGTTGTTTTGTGTGAAATGATACTGTTAAGCTAATTTTATCTTTTCACTATGATGCAGAACTAAAATGGGGCAAAATGTCAAAAACATAATTTTTAAAATATTATTTAGCTTACAGTCTCTGTCTCTCTCTGTCTCTCTCTCTCTACTATCTTTTATTGCTCCTTCTGTTCATCTGGATTTAAAATGTTCCTTGAGCCAGAACCGGTTTGGCTCAGTGTATGGAGCGTCGGCCTGCAGACTCAAGGGTCCCGGGTTCAATTCCGGTCAGGGGCATGTGCCTTGGCTGCAGGCACGTCCCCAGTAGGGGGTGTGCAGGAGGCAGCACATCGATGTTTCTCGCTCATCGATGTTTCTGGCTCTCTATCTCTCTCCTTTCCTCTCTGTAAAAAATCAATAAAATATATTTTTTAAAAAAATGTTCCTTGAGTTTTAAGGTTGCAGGAAAATTTTAGCAGTTAGATATTCTAAGTGAGGCTGAAAATATATGAGCAGAATTGAATGAATGATAGGTGTCCTCTTTTTTAGCAAATGACCTAAGTGGGAACTACTAGAAATCAACCCAACTTAAAAAGACATAATTATCTGAATACTAACTTAAATAAAAAATAAATACGGTATAATTCAGATAGGGAACCAACTTAATGCCAACATTGCGAGCTTTCCATGTAAGAGCTATTTAGCATTTTAAAAAATATATATACTTTATTGATTTTTTTATAGAGAGGAAGGGAGAGGGATAGAGAGTTAGAAACATCGATGAGAGAGACACATTGATCAGCTGCCTCCCGCACACTCCTTACTGGGTATGTGCCCGCAACCAAGGTACATGCCCTTGACTGGAATCAAACCTGGGACCCTTGAGTCCGCAGGCCGACGCTCTATCCACTGAGCCAAACCAGTTAGGGCAATTTAGCATTACTTTTTATATTTGAAACATAGAACTAAATCCATAAAATAGCAAGATGTAGAAATTTATTTCTTGTACATTTAAAAAGCATAAATCTTTGTTTCTTTTTTGTAGATATAATGAATAAGAAACCAAGACTAGCCTGGGAACTTTATCTCAAGATGGAAACCTCTGGCGAGTCCTTTAGCCTCTTACAGCTCATTGCTAATGACTGCTACAAGGTGAGTCTGAATGAGGATACAGGGAAATTGAAGATCAGCATCACAATGCAGCATTAGCTAAGTGTTAGGGGAAAGTATCCTACAGACTAAATGGCTGTTGGTGAGAGTATTTGCATAGTGATAGCAGAAATGTCATCTCTGTTATGAATGAACTGAGTTCAGAGATAGATAGCATGACGGGGTTTTTTATGTGTATATGAAATAATGATTTAGAGAGAGGTTTTAGATTTCCAAAGGCTGTGAATCTTCAGATAGCATCCATTCACCCAGGATGTGAAAATTTGGTTTTGAAGCTTAAGAAAGATGTCCTCTAACATCTAGAGACATAGATTTAGAGAAATCATCAACATTTCAGTAGTAATTGAAACCCTGAAAAACAGTGGGATTGCCCAGATAAGAAAGTAAAGTGAGAAAAGTAAATTGTTGTAAACCTTAGGGAATACTAATATGCAAACAGTGGACAGGAAAGACAAAGGAACCAGAAAAGGAAAAAGAAGACACAGTCATTTAGTAAAGGTCTGACTGTGTGTGTGTGTGTGTGTGTGTGTGTGTGTGTGTGTGTGTGTGTGTGTAGGGCATTGGAAAGGCAGGGGGGAGCTTTTTAAAAATTAAGAGCGTTTTTAAAAATTCGCCTCAAATTCCAGAAATTCCTATTTTTGGTATATTTCTGCTTATCCAAAAGATGAGAAAAATGTCAGGTAAAGGTAAAGAGAGTCTAGTGTTAGTCAAAATTAATCATTACAGCCTGGCTGGTGGGGCTCAGTGGTTGAGCATCAACCCGTGAACCAGGAGGTTGCAGTTCCATTCCCAGTCAGGGCACATTCCTGGGTTGTGGGCTTGATACCCAGTAGGGGGCATGCAGGAGGCAGGTGATCAATGATTCTCTCTCATCACTGATGTTTCTATCCCTCCCTCCCTCCCTCTCTCTGAAATCAAATTTTTTAAAAAGAATCATGCCCTAACCGGTTTGGCTCAGTGGAGACAGGATGAAGATTAGCAGAAAGGAAAGGGAAGAAAAAAAATACTTTCAACAATAAAGAATTGTTTTTAAAAAACAATTATAGAGTTATAGCCAGCAATATAGGTAAATCTTATAAATATACACAAGACACGAGTATTTATAGTATTATTTTATATAGATAAAATTCTAAGTGCAATACTCAATTATATTATCTAAAGATATACACATAGGTGCTTATAAAGAAAGTCAAAAGACTGATGACCATAAAAGTTGGAATAGTAGTTAATTCAGAGGGAAGGAGAAGGTTGTGGTTTGGAAGGGACACAAAGAGCTTCTGTTTTGCTGTCAATGTTTCCTTTCTTGGCCTGCGTGGTGGTTACACTTGTATTCACCTTATAATCAGACATTAAACTGTGCATTTATGTAGCATGCAACATACTCTATGTGTGTTATTTCACCCTGAAAAGTGCTTAAGAGGACATAGGAAGAAGGGTTAACTTTGAAAAGGAATAGGAACACTTCTCCCCCTAGCCAGTTTTGCTCAGTGGATAGAGTGTCAGCCCATGGACTGAAAGGCTGCAGGTTCAATTCTGGTCAAGGGCAAGTGCCTCGGTTTGCAGGCTCAATCCCTGGCTCCCATCAGGGTGTGTGCAGGAGGCAACCAATGGATGTGTCTCTTTGACATCAATGTTTCTCTGTCTCTGTCTCTCCCTGCCTCCACTCTCTTAAAGTAAAAGAACACTTCTCCCAGTGAGATAGACAGAAAAGAGGGAAGGATGAATGACGGTATAATTTGAACTGAAGGGAGGAAAGTTGTGTTTTCCCTGAAGTAGAGGAAAAAGTTATGCTAAGAATGCAATAGAGCTCTTCAAGAAATTGGTAAATGGCCTTAACTGGTTTGGCTCAGTGGATAGAGCGTCGGCCTGCAGACTGAAGGGTCCCAGGTTCGGTTTGGTCAAGGGCATGTAACTTGGTTGTGGGCACATCCCCAGTAGGGGTTGTGCAGGAGGCAACTGATCAATGTTTCTCTCTCATCGATGTTTCTAATTTTCTATCCCTATCCCTTCCTCTCTGAAAAAAAATCAATAAAATATATTTTTAAAATAAGAAATTGGTAAATGTTTATGAGAACAGTTTATAGGAATGGAGAAGTAACTAAACCACACTGGCTAGAGGACTACTCAGCAATTTGCAGCCTTTAGTGAAATTGCTATATACCACTATACATTTTTGATTGCCAGTCAAGTAAACTCATCTAAGCAAAATTTAATGTTATTCAACGTTTTCTACAAGGCCAAGGAAAGATATGTCAAAATAAATTAAATGTTTTAAAGAGTTGGTTTTTTTAGAGTAGTATTCAGCATACATCTAAGCATACTGAGAATTTAGACGAGGTCAGGGAAGGACCATCCTCTTCAGTTGAACATGATCAAACTAGCATAAAATAAATGATAGTAATCCCCTACAGAATGTACTGAGAAGACATGAAAAATACTCAGTTCAAATCACAGTTGTTGGAATTTATTCTCAAGATTAGAATATAATTAGAAGAAATGACAGATGTGTTGCTTATAGAATAACCTGACTATATGTAAAAAATATATACTGTTGAAAACTGAATGAAGGTAAGCTAATTTAAATTGAGTCTACGTATGCAAACTGATTTTCTTCTTTCTTTGTTTAATAAAGAATTTAAATTTATCTAATTTGCTAACAGAAAATTTTGTCATTACCCATGCACTCATTTTATACAATTCTGCTTCACGGCATCTTTATGTTTAGTTTCATTCTGTGTAATCTTGTGACTACAAGTGCTAGCACAATTCTTTCTTTTATTCAGATGGGCCAGTTTTACTATTCCGCCAAAGCCTTTGATGTCCTAGAGAGGCTGGATCCTAACCCTGAATATTGGGAAGGCAAGAGGGGGGCCTGTGTGGGCATTTTCCAGATGATCTTAGCTGGGCGAGAACCCAAGTAAGTGCACAGACCACAAACACTACCTCTACTCATTTGCTGGTTTGCAAGGAAAAAGCATTGTTTTCATGATGACATCCTCTTCTGAAAACTCAAAAGTATAAGATGTTTTAGAATGATGAATAAAAATAAAACTTTATGATGTTATATATTTGTAGCTGACCTTTTTCCTCCAGAAATTTTTTATTTTATAGAATCACATCATTCTAAATCCTAATCCTGGGGACATCGAGCATACTACAGCTCTCAAATATAAGAGCAAGATAAATATTTGCCTCTAAATGAATGGCCATTGCATAAACAAAGTCTTCCTCAATCTCTTCTATCTTTTCTTTGCCTATTATCTTTTTCTTGTCTTTTAGTTTAGGCCTCAAAGAATTAGGAATGGAGTAGATATGGTTAATAATTTTTTCTTTATTTGCCTCTAATATTCCAGAAAATACTAAGACATTAGATTAAACAAAATTAAGTGGCTTGTAGCTCCATTTGTAACAAAAATTGAAATGCTTAAAACTAAATTCAGTGTTCTAAAAATAACTTCATGGAATGTATTGGTTACTGATGTATGAATAGCAGGTGTGATTATTTTATAAGTAAACAATCTATCAAAAATTACCTCCCGCTTTATATCTACTTCCAGTCCTAAATAAAAGTTTAAAAGAATTTTGTTAAGTAAAAGAGGTTTTTGAGGGGAAAAAATAAGTCAAAAACATGAGAGAACTCTTAGGGAAAAGGATCAATATGCAGTTACCTGTATATTTGATAAGGTAATAGGGAAGTTTTAGTATGCGTTACTTAAAACACTAATTCTAATTAAATTTAAATTACTTAAAACATAAATACCGGGCATTTGCTAACTCTTGGTTCTTAACTTTCTTTTTTTCCGTATTTTGAATATGTTATTTTTCTTGAGGAAATCATCCATTCTTCTGGCTTTGTAAAATTTCACAAATATGGCAGTGATACCCAGTTTATGGTAATTGCCACCTTAAACAAAGAGAAATCTGGGACCCAGACAAGTTAAGTGACTTGTTAGTAAGGGGCTAGAATTGGAATCCAAGTCTGCCCCCAGCTCGTTGATATACCCTCTTTTTCCTCTGTCATGCAGAATAAGCACAAAATGAAAATACTCATGTCATATTAAGACAAAAAGATTAATACATGTGTATAGATAGTATAAATAAACAAGGAAAACTTGGGTTGGGGAAATGAATTTTCATTTTACTATGCCACCATAAGATAGAATGCTAGGAAGTTTGTAATTGGTTTATGAATACACAGGGAAAGAGTCTGTTACCAAAAATGCCCTACTAGAAGTATATGAAGAATAGTTAAGAGTTTATTTTACCTGTTAGTATTCATTCTCTATTAAATCACTTTTCCTTTCAAATTCTTTCCTCAGAGAGACCCTTCGAGAAGTGCTCCATCTACTGAGAAGTACGGGTAACACCCAAGTAGAGTACATCATCCGGATCATGAAGAAATGGGCCAAAGAGAACAGGGTGCCTGTTTGACGTCCCTCCGGAGGTCTAGGGAACCAGTCACTGCTTTGACAGGAAATTGGGAATCATTTTCCTTGAATTTAATGTAAGATGCAGGACTCTATTTTATTGACGTTTTCCTTCCTTGTTCTTCAAGCCACAAGACCAGTGACTGCTTAGACTTGCCTCCTGGCTGAACCAAGTGCCATAGTCTGTGGTGTGGCCCCTGTGTGATCTGACCTGCAATAAGACTTTGAACTTATCTGGTGCCTTTCTTCCAAAAATACTCAGAATACTGTTATGTAATTTACTGACTTTAAGGAGAACAGCATAGCTTTGTTCTTACATTTACATTCTATGGCGCTTTCTCCAAGCTGCAATCCAAATGTCATTAATGCTCAAGAGTCACCATTATCCTATTATCTTATTCTCAGCCGTCTCTGTACACTACCCCTTGTTACTAGGGAATTCCATAAAGAGTTTTGTAATGGGTCTCTGAATCTTGGGAGAACAGAAGTTAAAATAGCTAGATGATTCTAAGAATGTCAGTAAGAACCTTTACCAAGCTGCCCGTTCATTAATAGATAATAGGCTTAGGGGTTAATCTTTCAGTAACTGAATTCTCGATGATAATAACATGTTGCAGTGGAGTAACATTGCAGTTTTTTAAAAGGTGAGTACTATGAAAAAAATCTGTTAAGGAACTCTCATTTGTCATTTCTTCATTATATTTTAGGTAACAAAACAGGTTAGGTTTTCCCTTCGTGTATCTTGCTGAATAAACATCAATTTTGAAAGTAGGGCTGCAAAGGCTATGTGTGTGCATTATGGCCATGTATCAATGTAATGATGTAGAACATGGGTGTGTAGAGCCTTTTGAGGGATTTCCTAATGGCTGGGCTCCATCCTAAGTAATATCCCAGCCCCATGTTCTGAGCTTTCTCAACGTAAACCTATTATACAAGTGAGCATTCTTAGGCTCACAAGCTATTTTCAGAAAATAGACCTGCATGTTTTTATGTACCAGATTACCTTTGTTTCTACACCATATCTTTTTCTTTGAGTTTAAGGCACCCAGTATTACAGGTGTAGGAAGTGCAGAGCCATCTCTATGGATGAAGAAGGTGTATAGACTAGAGATGGGAACATGGAAGGAGTCAAAGCAGCTAAAGAGAGATGATCCAAGACCTCAGATACTTCTGAACAGTTGCAAAGGTTCTTTCAGCTCTACTCAGGAAGATGACCAGTTTTCTTGTCTTTTATCTTAGACCCAGATCTAAGCAGTTCAGAGCACAAATAAAGGAACTGGCCTGAATAACTGAATTTTAGAAAAAAAAGTTACATCCTTTTCATATGATAAAGCTCCTGTTTCCTCAATACATTGTTCCTACTTTTTTAATAATTGTTTTTCAGCATCCAAAGTACTAGGTGCATCAGATCTGAGAAGAAACCACTATAATTTTTAGAATTCTTCTTGTTATTCTTAAAAGATTAGGAAAAGTAATAGTGGAAAAAAGATGGAACTCCTCAGTGGCTTTTGGCGATGAAATGTGCCTTCTAGTTAATTGCTGTTATTTTCAAATTCCCTATATTTGAAAAGCTTTCCCACTGATGGTGATTTACTTTTAAATGAGCTTTTGTTGAATTTAATACTTCTCCCTGTGTTTTTCTGTCTTTTTTGGGGGGTAGGATCTGATATTCCAAAACTAGCAATTCCCAGAATTTTAAACTAATTCTTAAAAAGTTTTCAATCTATAGAATTGAACAAAAACCAAACAAAACCAAAAACCATAAAGACTAGTTTCGAAAAGATACCATCCAGTTCCGCCATTCAGGATAACTACTTCTAAAAGGTCTTGATATGGTCTCAAGACTGCAGAGTGGTTTGCACAACTGCTTTTCTCCATGTGAAGATACAGGAGAAAGGTAGGTCCAGGCCTAGGAATGTTGTATAACGTGTGCAGTTCATAGCATCTGAAAGGTTAGCATGGTTGTGGTGCACGGGCAGGCTAAATAGCCATCTCAGATGGTGGACAAAGAAGAATTGAATTTATTTAAGGAAAGGGGTTGGGGGATGGGGGGTAGGATATCCTAAGGGAAGGGCTACACAGCACCAAGCCAAGGGACATTGGGGCGATGATGGCAACACTCAGGAGCTGGAGTTTCATCCTTATATGCAGTCACTGGCGGGAAGCTCTTGTCGTCAGTGGGTTTGGGGGCTGAATGGGTGGGCTTGGAATGTGGATGGAATGCAGGTGTGCGATCAAGTGTCTTCAGGACAGTTTCAGTTCCTTTTATGGTCTGATTCCTGGTGTCACGCAAGTTTTTCCCCCTCCCTGGTCTCTGTTCTCCTGTGGCAGGAAGCTTACAAATGGCCGTTAAGTATCATATAGCCCTAACAGCATCCAGGTAGTATTTATAGTCTGCAGAAAATATTACTTGCAAATGTAAAAAAAAAATTACAATTATTTTTGTACTTCAAAATAATAATTCTACTGTAACATATTAAAATTAAAGTTTATTATTTCGTTCTTATTATGATATTCTAAGTGTGGTGAGTGCGAGCCCTGGGTATGTCATGTGCCTTCTCCCCTTTCTTTCCTGACCCCAGAGTGAAGGGAAAAAAAACAAAGTTTGGGGCTCCACAAATTACACTTATAAGAGAGGAAAGTAGATAATCCCTAAGAATCCCTGTCCATTAAGGCTCATGGTTCCTGCTAAGTCATATTGGGTTTGGCTCTTTGCTGAGTTACAGCTCATTCCGGTGCATAAGACACCTCACATAGAAAGCTCTCAAATTCTTGTTAATTTAATAGTCATGCATATAGTAATTGGTAGGGCAGGGGACTTGTGACCTCATGTAATTTGGTTCCCATCTAATTATTGTTTGATCATGTGCTAAGATATACTAGGTGCTGGGGATTCAAATATCACACATAGTCCTGACCCTTAAGGAGCGCAGTCTCTGGGCACACAGTGCAAAATACAGATGATGTATCATAGAATTGTACACTTGAAAACTATATAATTTTATTAACCAATGTCACTCCAGTAAATTTAATTTTAAAAAAAAGCTTAACCAGAAGTCTACACAAGTAAACAGAGTAAGATGTGGTTGTCATCAGTAGGAACAAAGTCTTGAGAGGTAAGAGAAGGCACTGGAAATTATTGTATATGCATGTAAATGGGACACTGCCTGCCTTATTTGGGAGAAGCAGTCAGAATGATCCTGAAATTCAACAGGTAGCAAGATGCTTAGGCTTCTGCCATGTGTACAACACATGCAACAGACATCCAAGTACACAAAAACAAGGAGACTGCTTTCCTCTTCTTTGGCTTAGCACCTTCGAAAAGTTGCAAGCAGGTGGGCATTATATCACAACTAAAGGGCCAGTGCACAAAATTTGTGCATGGGTATAGTCCCTAGCGGCTGCCGGCCAGGGACACTTCCCTTCCCTCTCCCCCCCCCCACCCACCGGCTGCCTGCCAATGCTGCCAGCCCCACCCCCTGGTAGAACTCCTGGTTGAGGGGACAATTTGCATATTAGGCTTTTATTATATAGGATCGTTTTATCTACTTTCTAATGGCAAAAATGAATTTGCTATTTACTAGTGTCTATATTTAGGACTGTCTCAATCTAACTTAGATGAATAGTCCTCTTTCTCTTTTTCATACTATAAAATATTTCTAAGGCTTATATATATTTTATGATATCTTCAGACTGTATTTGGCCTATTCAGGGATGTTCTCAAAGAAGCAGAGCTAGAAGCTTGGTGATGTGCCTGTAACCCACCTTAACTGTGGACTGCAAGAATATATGAAGAATACAAGACAGTATCCTATATAATAAAAGGCTAATATGCAAATTGACCAAACGGCAGAAGGACCAGTCGTGTGATGCACACTGACCACCAGGGGGCAGACACTCAATGCAGGAGCTGCCCCCTTGTGGTCAGTGCATTCCCAGAAGCTGGGCTCACTGCTGGCAGGTTCAGCAGTGGTGAGGGGACCCTATCCCACCTCTACGGCAGTGCTAAGGTTTTCAAACTGCTGCCTTAGGCCCAGGCCTAAGCCATCAGTCAGACATCGAGGGGTCCTGGACTGCAAGAGGGTGCAGGCTGGGCTAAAGGACCCCCCCACCCCGCAAGTGCACGAATTTCGTGCACCGGGCCTCTAGTCCTATATAATAAAAGGCTAATATGCAAATCAACCAAATAGCAGAACTACCGGTTGCTATGATGCGCACTGACCACCAGGGGGTAGATGCTTAATGCAGGAGCTGCCCCCTGGTGGTCAGTGCACTCCCACAGGGGGAGCGCTGCTCAGCCAGACGCCAGGCTCATGGCTGACAGGCACAGTGGTGGGGGCGGGAGCCTCTCCCACCTCCACAGCAGCACTAAGGAGTCCGACTGCTGGCTTAGGCCCGCTCCCTGCAGTCGGACATACCCCCCAGGGCTCCCAGACTGAGAGAGGCACAGACTGGGTGAGGGACTCCCCTCCCCCCAGTGCATGAATTTCATGCACTGAGCCTCTAGTATGAATATAATAAGCTGATGTGTACATACTGAGTTGGTAGTCTATAGACAAGTTAGCACTTTCTTTTTCGGCAACAAAACTCTTTCTGTAAATAAAATCTAAATGCCAGATACAACTAGGAACTGCCCTGTTGGTTGGAGCAAAGAGGAGGAAAGGAAGCAGACACAGCAAGTCCACCACTCAGGCTGCCCCTCTTGGGGCCACACAGTTTACAAACCTCAGATACAGGAAATAAATACCTTGCTAAGTTATCCTCAGGTGAAAGAACAATGGGAAACTCAGGTTTGAGCATCCACAGCATAAATTGTGGATGCATTTTATCTAAATTGATTCATCATATTTTTTTATATATTCATTCCTGTACTTATATATTAATTTGGTCAGTTACTTGTATCCCACTGTGTTCCAGAAGACATTTGAAATGATTTTCTAAAATATGAATAGATTGAAGGCTTTTAAGAATAAAGTCACAAGTAAAGTTCATACACAAACGTACACACCAGAATTACAAAAAATGGGCTAGAAATTCACCTTCAAGTTTCTTACCAATCAAATCAAAGAGTGAAACACAACCAGATACAAAATTCACAGTCTGTGTATGTGAATGAAGGCCCTAATGGGAAGAAAAACCTGGATTCTTAGTGATCTCTGACTATTCATGGGTTTCTGAATTAGGTTTTCTGCACTGTAGCTTAGATGCAACTATATGCGTTAACAAAAATTTCACGGAAATCTTACTGCCCTATAAACATGCAGGTCTTTCCTACTATTTAGTTAAATAAACATGTCCATCTATTTCTAATTTCCTCTATAAACATATAATTATACTCTTCTTTGCTAGTTTTTGACGGGAGTAGTTATTAATGTGGTAGAGTTGAGATAAGTCATTCAAGTTTTTTTAAAAGATACATGTTTTTTATTGATTTTAGAGAGTGGGGAGAGAGAGAAACATCAATTGGCTGCCTCCTGCACACCCCTACTGGGTATTGAGGCCACAACCCTGGCTTATGCCCTGACCAGAAATCAAACCAGTGACCTTTCAGTGCTTGGGACGATGCTCAACCAACTAAGCCACACTGGCCAGAACAAGTCATTCAAATTTTAAAAATTATAAGCGTATGCTAGGATGAAAATATAAGTAATAGTGACCTAAAGAATAATTGCAAGGTACTGTAAAAGCAATGAAATGGTGGGCTAGTATAGCTTATACATTTACTGAGGAAAATCAACAGTGTGAAGTAGGTTAAATAGAAAAGCCTAAAT